ATGCTCATGATGTCAATCACTGGATCGTCTGGGCCAGACTCGATTAGCCGTCATATAGCTTGAATATTGCTGGTGCAGCGTTAAACAACAAACAAACAAACAAACTTGCTGATATGTCATTGTTAATATGAAAACTAACAACTTTACCTTGAAACACTTTAATGAAGCCAGTGTCACATCTGTGACACAAAATGTAGTATAACAATAGGTCATATTCAAGCGTTTTGAAAATGCATTAGAGATGTAATTGGAATTTAAATAGGTTGTCAGCATGGAAATGAAATGTTGTCATGATATTTGGTAGACAAAAAGTATCATTCTACATTTGTATAGGTCATGTTTGTCTTCGAAGATATGTTGTTTTTTATGGGTCTGTTACCATGGAAACAACAGCTGGTGGGATGAAATGGGGTTAAACTTAGCATTCAAGGTTGTTGCACGAAAATAGCGATATGACCAGTCCTTTTTTTGCCCCTTAAAGTTGAGCGGCAGGCAGGGTAACAACAAGTACCATCTTTCAACATGTTTTGGTACGATGCAGCCGGGGATTGAACCATCATCCTTCTGCTCTCCGGGCAGATGCTGTCTCCACGAGACCCGACTCGCAGCCTTAGAAATTGGCACTAGTCCTGTAGTCCTTGCCAAACTGCTCAATAGTCAAGGTATCATAAGAACTAGTAGAAATTTGCGATTTTTAAGGGTTTTGCTATATGTTATCATTATAAGGAGAGGTGGACAAAAAATGTTTGTTTCTACCGCTGCCAGAGAGTCAGTCAATAACATCATGCATGGTATGATACATGAAAATTCAAAATTTGCCATCTGAAGTTGTTGTATCCAATCATTGAAGAACATGACCAGCAGACCAAACCACAATCAAACTAACAATACCTTGCAGCGTTAGAAATTGGCACTAGTCCTGTAGCCCTTACCAAACTGCCCAAGAGTAAAGGTATTTTTTAGGACTAGTAGAAATTGTCCCATTTCAAGGGTTTTGCTACATGTTATCATAATAAGGACTAGTGGACAAAAACTGTTAATTTCTAACCCTGCCTTTGGACACGTTTGCACCTAGCATAAGAAAAAGAATTATACAAACGATTTCCATGCGATTAAACAGATACATGCGCATTATGTGTACATGCATCGTGTTGCATGCATACAACATGGACCTCCTCCGTGATCTAGTGGTAGAGCGTCCGCCTAGAGAGCGGAAGGTCCGGGGTTCGATCCCCGACCGCGTCATACCAAAAGATGTTAAAAGCTGGTACTTGTTGTTACCCTGTCTGGCGCTCGGCATTAAGAGCTAAAACAAGGACTGGTCGGCTCGGAGTCAGTATACTGTGTCTGAGTGGGGTATTCATGTTAAACTGCGGCATGGTATCTCAGTGAGCTAGCACTATAAATAGGCATCAGTCCGGACTAGTACAAGCAGCCACACAAACACACACACGTACATGCACGTAGCTATATAAGTGCAATAATCTTGGACGCAACGTTAAACCCCATTTCACCTCACCTCCATACGACGTGCCTTATGATCACTGGTGGTACAAGCCTCGTGGGGGTTCCGGATGAAAACGTGTCTCCAGCACCCTATGCTGGTCGTAAGGCCAAATGGATCGGATGGTCAGGCTTGCTGACTTTGTTGATGAGACTGTCGTCATATTATCCCGACAGAATGGATTTTTGTTCACAATATGATTCACTGGATTGTCTGGTCCCGACTCGATTACTTACTGGCCCCCATCATACAGAAGGAATATGACCATGAAGATCCGGGGTAGAATAGGTCTTCAGCAACCCATGCTTGACATGAAAGGAGACTATGCTTGTCGTAAGAGGCGACTAACTGGATTGGGTGGTCAGGCTCGCTGACTTGGTTGATGCATGTCATCATATCCCAATTGCGCTGGTCGATGCCCATGATGTCAATCACTGGATTGTTTGGTCCAGACTCAATTTTTTATGGACTGCTGCCATATAGCTTGAATATTGCGGTGTTAAACAAAAAAACAACAACAAAAAACAGACAGCAGGAATATAGCTGGGTGCGGCTTTAAACAATAAACAAACAATCAAACTGGTGATACCAGACTCACTTCAGGACACAACATTTCTCGATAACTCATAGTGAATCGTTACAGACCAAGTTGTATGGGAGTGTCTCCATGAAGTGATGATGTTTTTTTACTAGCGAAATGTAAATTGAATGGGGAATTTCAGTCGCTGTCCATCCCTGGCACTGGCATTAATATTGTTGCAACAAGTATTGCAGAAATAACTTCATTCTCCTAACATCACGCCTGATCATATTAATCAATCTGTTGCTGGATGTGAATTTATTACTCCGGTGGGATGTGACTTCACAGTTGCAGTTGGAAAAACAACACCCCCAATAAATGGGTCCTGTTCTGTCTGTGCGACTAGATCAATCAATCTGTAGCTGGATATATACAGCGATAACTACCAAGGAAACCCTTAGGGAGGTGATTTCCATGTTTACCTGCAGAACATAATGATTAATAGCGGGAATACCCCTACAGGGACAGAGTATCTAGCTACCTGGTCGTGTCGTGTCGTGTCGTGTAGTGTCATCATGTCGCCTGTATGTCATGGGGGTCACAGAGTCAGGTCAACATTCTCATTCATCACCTTCCTCACCTGTTGATAAGGTTTAGTTCTTGGTAACCATATTTGTTTTGGGGTTTATTTTGGGTTTTTTAAAATTTAGGGAAAATATTTTGTTAATGAATTAACAAGTTGTGAATTGCTGCAAGTCTGTTGATTGTTGTTTATTTGTTGAAGTTTACAGGCGTCACAATTGAAAAATGCCATGAAATTGTGACATTGGTTGGTTTTGCTGTCACAGATGTGGAATATTTTGAAGTTTGCCCTAACCAAAGACTAAGTATTTCAGTGGTATTTTGTCTAAGTCACATGGGTAAATGTGAACATTTAATCCCCACATGACTGCTTATGTCAATCTACCAGTTGGTGATCAATAACTGTTTGTCTTCACAATAGCAATGACTCCTGTTAGATTCAGCATCGGTAAACGGTAAACCTTATAGAATAATAGTGAGTTCTGATAATTTCGAGCATTTGGCCAATAGAAAATGAAGACAGAAACTCGACTTCAACATACGCGGAAGTGACTGAATATAGTGTTTAACGTTAACAGTTAATTTACCCCTCACACTGAATTAAAACTAGAATGCTCAGGTAATTTAGGCAATAGCCCAACCATCGGGTGTGCAACATTTCAAAACTGTCCGTCAGTAAGGAAAATAAACCGTCTCAGACTGTGGGGCAGGAGGGTGTTTTAAACACTGCCCAAGTGTGACACACTGATACCGATATGCGAAACATCGGTGGTCACAACAGCTGCCCACCAACCTGTGCTTGTCAGAAGAGGCAACTCAATGGATTGGATGGACAGACTTGGTGATTGGTTTATTGTAACTTAATGTTATCAATCACTGTATTGTCTGACTCAGTTATCCTCAGACCAACGTCTTATTGCTGGAATATTTGAATGTTGGTGTTAATCAACAAACATGCACAAACACTATGTGTTATAAGCATGTAGTTTATATGTTCACTTATCTCATTAAAATCAGACCTCAGTTCTCGCTACCGCTAAACAAAGATCTGAGGACATCCCATTAGGGGTCACGTCAGAACGACCTTTCATCCGACCAATCAGAGCATTGCTTACCAGATTATGAAAGTGACAGTCAGAATGTGATTTCTTATCATGCAACCTCGAAAACTCCGAACGATAATTACGGCTTTAACGACTGTTGTAATCTATACAATCTAGACCATCTATTAGCCATTCCAGAATGTTCAATTGTTCAGGTTTCAAATTTGTAATTGAGAATTTGTCAAAATATGTTTCGAAGCGTAGTTGCCAATTTGAAATTGGTGCCGTAAAGCACGAGAAAGCTGCCTTCTGATTGGTCATTCCATTGGTCAGTCAAAGTTCGTGCAAGGTCGGTCTGACGTGACCTGTAATGGGATGTCCTCAGATCTTTGTTTAGCGGTAGCGAGAACTGAGATCTGATTTTAATGAGATTGTATGTTCACAAGCTGGTAATGAAGTTCTGTGTCAACAAACAGTCAACTATATGCCAACAGATGATCCCTTTATGTCAATCATCTGACACTATAATGTGTTAACAAACAACGAGTAAATTGCAAGTGATTCCACAGCATTTGATTGGCTATCCAAGCAATTGTTCTTGCATTTATGTTCAAGTAAACCAAAATAATATCAGGCTATGTTTTGATTGGCTGACAATAGAATGGGCATGGCTTGCCCATGCCCCTGATTTTGAATTGTTTACAGTTTTGATTGTGTTAAGGAATACATAAGCAGTCTGTGAAGTTAATATTGTTGACGTATTTATCAATTAGAATTGACTTCAAAATGCTTTTGCCTTTATGGCATTATGTTTCATTTATACTTCCACACACACACACACAGACACACAGACACACAGAGGCGAACACAGACACACACACAGACAGAGACACACAGACACACACAGACACACAGAGGCGAACACACACACAGACACACACACAGAGACACGCACGCACACACACACACACACACACACACACACACACACACACACACACACACACACACACACACACACACACACACACACACACAGAGTCTTGATATCAATTCTTAATATACTAGCAGTCTGTGCCAAAACCCTTTTGAGTCCACAACCCCGAACTTGGCTCTTGGCATCATTTTCAGTAGATTTTACTTCTATCATATGGCATTTATAAGCTAATTTTACTTAGTTGGACAGAATTTGACTCAACTTGGGCTTCAGACTGTATAACTATGTCACAACCTTAGTCAATCAAAGTCAACAAGAATACAACTCTATGCTAACAAAAATACAACTATATTTCCTGAAGTAGTTTACTATATGTCAACAAGCAGATAATTATACGTGTTGATATGCTTTCAGCCAACCTGGATGAGGAAGTGAGTGACCGGTGTATGGGGGAGCTGACAGGGGCCAGTCACAAGTATGGCCGCTCCTGCATCATCAGCGACCAGTGTGTTAAGACCATGACACTGCGGGGACTGACGGAGTATGGCCTCACTCACCAGATCCTGTGGACGATGGTAGCAGAGAAGGTAGTTCTGAGACACATTGTTGATCTTTCGTGGAGTATATTGAATTTGAATCAAGGGAGTTACCATGGTGACACCCTCATATGCCTTACCTTCTCAAGCCATGTCTTACCAAGTCTAACCATGTCTAACCTTGTCTAGCCATGTCTAAATTTGGCTAACCATGTCTTACCGTGTCAAACCATGTCTAACTTTGTCTACTTTTGTCTAGCCATGTCTAACCATGTCTTACTTTGTTTAGCCATATCCAACTTTGGCTAACTATGTCTTAACTTGTCAAACCTTGTCAAACCATGTCTAACTTTTTTGATAGGCATTTAGAAGTTGGAGTACTAAGTAAGGATAAGAATTTATGGATGAACCACTTCTTTATTACAATTAAGAGCAACATTTCGGTGTAGGTTCTAACTTACATGTCTAACTTGCTTTGTCTAACTTCGTCTAGCCATGTCTAACTTTGTCAAACCATGTCTAACCATGTCCATCTTTGTCTAGCCATGTCTAACTTTGGCTAACCATCTCTTACCTTGTCTTACCTTTTTAAACCATGTCTAACTTTGTCTAACTTGGTCTAGCCATGTCTAACCATGTCTAACCTTCTCTGACCATATCTAGCCTTGCCTAACCTTGTCTAACTTCATGTAGCCTTGTCTAACCTTGTCTTACTTCATCTAGCCTTGTCTAACCTTGTCTAACTTCATCCAGCCTTGTCTAACCTTGTCTAACTTCATCTAGCCTTGTCTAGCCTTGTCTAACTTCATCTAGCCTTGTCTAACCCTCCCTGTGGTGTTCCAGGCTGGCTGTCTCCAGGAGATGAAGAACATCATCCAGGGTCAGGGGTACCCCGATGTGGAGACCCTGCAGCTGGAGTTCTGCACCAACAACTACTACGAGATGCTGGCTGTTGTTCACATCTACATGAAGGGGGTCATTAGGACGGAGTATCAGGACCTCTTTCTGGAGCAGCGTGAGTAGCAACACTTGTCCTGTTGCTACCTCGATTCAGGCAATGGCCACAGTGTGAGACAAGTATATCTAGCACCAAACATTGATATGGAATAAACCAGCTGGGATTCCCAGTATATAGATCCCCAGCCACCTAGGCTTCCCAGAATATAGATCCCTAACCGACTAGGCTTCCCAGAATATAGATCCCCAGCCACCTAGGCTTCCCAGTATATAGATCCCCAGCCACCTAGGCTTCCCAGTATATAGATCCCCAGCCACCTAGGCTTCCCAGTATATAGATCCCCAGCCACCTAGGCTTCCCAGTATATAGATCCCAAGCCACCTAGGCTTCCCAGTATATAGATCCCCAGCCACCTAGGCTTCCCAGTATATAGATCCCAAGCCACCTAGGCTTCCCAGTATATAGATCCCCAGCCACCTAGGCTTCCCAGTATATAGATCCCCAGCCACCTAGGCTTCCCAGAATATAGATCCCCAGCCACCTAGGCTTCCCAGTATATAGATCCCCAGCCACCTAGGCTTCCCAGAATATAGATCCCCAGCCACCTAGGCTTCCCAGTATATAGATCCCCAGCCACCTAGGCTTCCCAGTATATAGATCCCCAGCCACCTAGGCTTCCCAGTATATAGATCCCCAGCCACCTAGGCTTCCCAGTATATAGATCCCCAGCCACCTAGGCTTCCCAGTATATAGATCCCCAGCCACCTAGGCTTCCCAGTATATAGATCCCCAGCCACCTAGGCTTCCCAGTATATAGATCCCCAGCCACCTAGGCTTCCCAGTATATAGATCCCCAGCCACCTAGGCCTCCCAGTATATAGATCCCCAGCCACCTAGGCTTCCCAGTATATAGATCCCCAGCCACCTAGGCCTCCCAGAATATAGATCCCCAGCCACCTAGGCTTCCCAGAATATAGATCCCCAGCACCTAGGCTTCCCAGTATATAGATCCCCAGCCACCTAGGCTTCCCAGTATATAGATCCCCAGCCACCTAGGCTTCACAGTATATAGATCCCCAGCCACCTAGGCTTCCCAGTATATAGATCCCCAGCCACCTAGGCTTCCCAGTATATAGATCCCCAGCCACCTAGGCTTCCCAGTATATAGATCCCCAGCCACCTAGGCTTCCCAGTATATAGATCCCCAGCCACCTAGGCTTCTCATAAGAAGCAACAAAATGGATCAGGTGGTCTGGCTTGGTGTTGTGGTTAATATCATAACATTGCATTCCAATTGCGTGGAGCGATGCTCATGGCGTCAATCACTGGATTGTCTGGTCCAGAATGAAATTACTTGAAGTCTGCTGGAATATGTCTGACTGCAGCGTTATATAAGAAACAGACAAACAAACGTTATTCACCGTGTTAATTAGGTTTTTGATACAGGTATGAATGAACAAAACAATTTTTACGATATAATACATACATTGGTTTACATTATGTGTCTTATATACATGTCATTTTGGATACCGCATAAACTTTAAAATATTTTGTCATGTTAAGGAATACCTTACTATTTATGCATGATCGTATAGTCTGGAAGAGAAGTGACTGTCCTCTTTTAGGAATATTTTGTCATCTTGTGTACGCCACAGTCAGCAAATTTCCAGCCACAGTCGAGTCCAGTTAGTCCGACATGGTTGGTTGCATATGATTATGTCGGATTAACAAAACTTGTTTCGACTCTGTAGCCGTTAATATGCAGCTACTAGCCGACTCTTCTCGCATTAAGACACAGGCTGTGTACTTGCAAGCAGATAACCACGGTCTACGCTGATCACTGTGTCGGATTAAGACTGATCGGAGTGCGAGACTGTCGGATTAAGGATTCTAAATAGCACTATTTTAATCGGTTCCCATCATTAGTGTCGGATAAGGTCAGTTGTCAGATTAACAAGACTTGACTGTATATCACTGTAGGCTATCAATGACAGTCTGGACCTGGAAGACCATCCCACATCACCAGAGAGTATTAAACACTATCAGCCAATCCCACTTTTAGTCTGCTCTCACCGAGGAGACACCGAGGATCTGTGCTCACGGGGCTAATTTAGTCCTGATGTTTCAACATGTCATTGGAATGTGGTTACAGGTTTGATAACCACATGCCTATGATGCTGTGTGTCCTGAAGAAACATATTGACTGGATAAGTCAATCAATCAGTCCTAGCTGTCAGTTATGGAGGAGGAAGTCCTCTATACTATGTAGTGTAGCAAGATTGATTGCTGGGATTAAACAGCCGACATGTTAGAAGCTTATTGATGTAAATATTTAAAGTTTTTAATTTTCCATACATGTCTCCAGAGTGATTTGATCTATGAAATTATTATCAACCGGCATGTATAAAGCAGATTGATCATCATTTTTTTAAAAATTTTAATTTGCTGTACATGTCGTCCCAGTGATTTGATCTATGAAATTATCATCTCCAGGAAGATAGCTATTATATATAATGTGTATCTTCTTCAAATATTTTTTTTTCTTATTTTCAGTACATGTCTCTACAGTTATTTGATCAGTGACATTATCATCTTGAACATATTATGCCAGTGCTATTAATAATATGACTTGTGATGCAAGTTCCCAGTAGTATCTATGTGACCTCTGAACATTGTGTTATATGGAGGCTGTTTGTTTGTTTGTTGTTTAGCGCCACACTCAGCAATTTTCCAGCTATATGATGGCGGTCTGTAACTAATCAAGTCTGGACCAGACAATTCAGTGATTGACATCATGAGCATCAATCCACGCAATTGGGATATGATGACATGCATCAACCAAGTCGGCGAGCCTGACTGCCCAATCCTGTTAGTCGCCTCTTATGACAAGCATTGTCGCCTTTTACGGCAAGCATGTGTTCCTGAAGACCTATTCTACCCTGAATCTTCACGGGTCTCATATGTAGGCATAGGAGAGTGATAGTCAATTGCAGTCTAAACATGTATGGGGTTGATAACCAGTTTCATCCTCAATAATCCATTGTGATCAATACATTGGGACTATGATGTCTGTAACTGATGTAATGGAAACATCATGAGAATCTTGCGTTGATTCCAGAACTAGAATCAGCAGATTCCTGTGATTTCTCCGACTCAAACCATGATTAGTTTGATATAATTTTTAGATAATCTTATTGTTAATGCAATGCTATCTTGTAACCAATCCAAACCAATCCGATATGGTACTGTCATGGGGAGAAACTACTTGACTAACGACTGGTCAAGAGTTAAAGATGTTACATTAACCGTCAACTGAAGATAGAAGATTGTAAGGAGATATGTTCACAATATTATTTACCGTTTGTAATTTTGGACTGCTAATTCAACACATTTTAGTTATATTAGATCTGACCTCATTAATTCGAACACTTTAAATTGAGGAGTGATACAGTCCGCCTTGGTTGTAATGACACAATGGTTGTAATGCTGTTTTTTCAAATTTTGACAAAACACTGGCAGTGTAGGTAATCTTTTGGAGATAATTCCTTCTTAAACAATAAACTTATTGCATTGATCTCAATTGCTTTCACAGCTAATCTTCCCACAGGGAATCGTTCACTGTCTTAAAATGAATTATTTTGATGTTAATGATACTATGTCCTTTTAACATTTGTTTAAATAAGTTTATATAAATTCATGTTGAAGACTGATAGTTTACACTAAACTATGAGGAGTGGAAGTATTTAACTTGTTGACACTATAGGAGAGATGAGTATTGACACTTTGTATTGAGATATGTTCTGTGATGTGCAGTGTATTGCAATATGTATTAGAATCATGTGGCCATGAAAGGGACGTAACTCTTATTCTGTACATTCAGAAAATTTTATTTGTTTTATGTAAATGTATCTATAACAGAAGAAGTGGCTATGCTAGTGTTTTTTTACTTATTTAACCAGAATATATATTACAATTGCAATTTTGTTTTCTTTTAAAGTATTGTATTTCTGTTTTTACTTTTGTTTTTATTCTAATTTTTATTGTATAAAACCATTTCAACATGGATGTTTTATCATATTGTATTGTACAAACTGTAATCCATTTGAGTAGAACATTGATATATCACTGGATTCCTTGAAGTGTTTTTTTGTATCTTAGCACAAGGATAGGTCTAGTGGTGAACTGGTGCCTTTTGATAAATCATTTTTTGAGTTTCCATAGCAATGACTTTGACTTAGACAGACAATGGTGGTAGTGCTCCTTTCTGGAGCAGATCTTGAAAACCATACAATATTTCTTCACCAAACTTGGCACTAGTCTAGTGGTAAACTGGTGCCTCTTGATATACATTGGGATTTTTGAAAAATGTATTTTTCGAGTTTCCATAGCAATGACTTTGACTTAGACTGAAAATGGCGGTAGTGCATGTTTCCGCAGCAGATCTTGAAAACTGTACAATATTTCTTACCTTGAACACAACCGGACATGTCATATTGGCAGGGGTAGAATAGGTATTTTATGCTTGTCTATTTTTGTTGCAGTTTTATCAAGCAATCTTACTTGTCTACCCAAGCCATGACTGATGAATCTTCTTGTTGTTGATTGTAGAGTTTGTATGCCCCAACATCGGCTTCTACGAGCACCTGACTCACGACTACCTCCAGCAGGTGCTGTCATGGCAGATGGAGTCGGGTTGCTTTGGTGACCCGAACCGTGGCAAAAAGAAGAAGAAGAAACAGAAACATGTCCAGGACGGCTTCAACCGCACCGAGTACCAGCTCATCAATGCCAACATGGCTGATCAATCCTATAAGTTACTGAACAATAATCAAAATAATGTTGTCAAAATGAATGCTGCTTTGCCAAATAGTATTTTGTTAAAAAAGTTCAATGCAAACCAATCAAAAGCATTGAATTATCAGTCGAGGAAGAGCAGGTTGAATAATGCACCGAGCGTGAATGCATTTCATCAGCAGAGAGGAAGGCTAAAACCTCTGTCCGGCAACAAAGGAAATATTTCCTACCAACCCCATCTGAAACCAGCAGATATTGGGGACACAGTAAACAAAGTAAAACAAAGTCCGGCTGTTGGAAATAATTTTGAGCAAACTCAAAAACACTTACCATTAGTTAATCCAGGAAATAGCCTTAATCAACCAAATCGAAATCAGCTGTTGAAAGTTCCCAATAATTTGAATTTTCAACGAAAACAGCAACACGTGAACATTCCCAAAGCTTTGATTGGTGGGACTGCAAGGAGACAACTCTCGTATGTACCATCCCGAGGACCACAGCGAAAACTTTTGGTGGAGAAATCTATGGAAGGTTTGTATGCATTTTCATGTCTTCATATGTAGTTTCTTTGTATATAATTAGCTGACTCTGGTGTCTGAGGCACTAGCTTTTGTGTGCTGAAACCTATGATCGTGGGTTTGAACACAAAATTTGTCCTGCATATGTTTCTGTGTTTGTCGGCTTGGGGATTATGCCAAAGTGACCTGCATCACCTCAAACTTTCTTGTCGCATCAAGGTGGCACACCGTGATAAACCTGACCAGTACCAGATATACCTGACACAATGATTAAACCAAATTCACTCACTCATTGTTTACCTTGTCCATCTGATCAAAGGACCAGGGAACGCCTCCGTTGTGTAGGCGATAGAGCATCTGCCCGGGAGCAGAAGGATGGTTGTTCAAGTTCCTTGCCGCGTCATACAAAAAGATGTTTAAAGTACTCGTTACCCTACCTGACACACAACATTAAGGGGGTAATACAAGTCAGAGTCAGCACACGTGACGATTCCGGGGTAGAATAGGTCTTCAGCAACCCATCCGTAAAAGGCGACTATGCTTGTCGTAAGAGGCGACTAACGAGATCGGGTGGTCAGGCTCGCTGACTTGGTTGATGCATGTCATCGATCCCAATTGCGTGGATCTATGCTCATGATATCAATCACTGGATTGTCTGGTCCAGACTCGATTATTTACAGACCGTTGTCATATAGCTGGAATATTGCTGAGTGCGGCGTTAAACAACAAACCAGCACACTGTCTGATTGTGGCTTTTGTTGTTGTTGGTTTGTTGTTTAACGCCGCACTCAGCAATATTCGAGCTATATGATGGTGGTCTGTAACTAATCAAGTCTGGACCAGACAATCCAGTGATTGACATCATAAGCATCGATCCAAGCAATTGGGATGTGATGACATGCATCAGCCAAGCCAGCGAGCTGAAGACCTATTCTACCCCTGATCTTCAAGGGTCCTGATTTTGGTATCCATGTTAAACTGTGGCATGGTATCTCAGTGGACTAGCACCAGCAGCCAAACACACACACAGGCATGCACAACACTATATCAGTAAACTCGCCCCACCTCGCTTCGCCTTAAAGGATCACCCAAAATCTTCATGAGGCTTTAGCTTATATTTGACTATCATCCTGACTGGGAATGACAAGCAAGCATTGTATCCTAGCTACAAAACAATCTTCATATGACCAGTATGTGGGTTTCCTGGAAATATCAAAAAGCCATACAGTATAGTTGTATGCACTCATTCCTCCCAAAACACAGATTTTGCAAATATTGTCAGAATATTTTCATTGTTGATCATTATTAAATTGAGTTGTATTGATGTCAACTATCGAACTTTCAAAATGCCTTTGAGGTATAACTTTCACACAATCAACAGTTTGTTTGACATTCAGTCATTATGTTTGTGTCTGAATCTCTTCTTAATGGTAGGATTGAGGCTAACCTCAAGACTTTACAGATCCAATTCAAAAACTTAATCTTTCTTTTATATGGTACTAGTATATAAAGATATCTTACCGTATTCGACGTAATAAGCGCCCAGGGCGCTCTCAAAATTAGAAAACAGGGGGCTCTTATAAGAATATTATTTTGGTTGAAAAAACAGATTTGAAAGATAAATTTCGTGGTTTATGCTGACAGACTGAAATGTTTATATACGACAGATATATTTTTTCAGAATTTAATGGCCCATAATTAAGGATGCATATAACACACGAGTGCGTATTATGCACGAATAAATAAGTCTTGTGTACATTGATCAATTGGAAGGGGTGCTAATTGGGATTGTTCACTAGCCAATATATGAGCAATTATCGCCGTGGGCGCTTATTAGAGCGGGGCGCTTATTACGTCGAATACGGTATATCTGTCTTCAGATATCAAATATATGTCAACAAGAGTTGATGAAAGTATAAACCCTGAGCCTTGACAAGGACTTTTATACTTTTATTGTCAAATATTGATATACTTGATATCAAAAGATACGAGGGTAAAATTCTATTTATCATCCAAAATCATTTGTAAACAGATAAATAACAAGTCATAACAAGTGTACAAAAGTACAGCTCACCAGCTTCAGTGCAAAGAGATTTATGATGTAATTTGATTGTTATGTCATGGTAACTGATGATGTCACAGTTATCGCAAAACATTGTGATGCAATTTGATGGAAGCGAAAGCTCCGTGGAGATATCACTTGATGTCACCCAAGTGATATCACTAAGGTTTGGATGGTAAATACTGGTCTACTTATATCTGCACGAATTTTCTTCCAGGTGGCTGTTTTTCCCACAAGACGGCTGTAGGAGCAGGTGCTCTTGCCATGTATCTCCGTTACCTCATTGACCCGGGACCTCTCGACCTCAACTCCACACACCGGGTGCTGCCTGAGAGCTCCCGGTCCCTGCTGGAGAAGGCAGACGCGAGTCTGGGAGACTCCCAGAAAGTGAAGAAGGAGGGCCTGATCCCGGTGAAGCAGAAGCTGAATGCTGAGGACTTGGCCCTGAATCAGATGGCTCCAGCCCTTGAAGACAGGGAGGGCGAGGATGGGTTCGGAGACGGGGGTGACGGTGGAGAACAGTCGGAGGAGTATGAGGGGGACGAGGACGAGGATGAAGATGGGGATGAGGGTGTTGATGATGAGGCGTATGAGGATAAGGACATGTATCCTGATAAGGAGGAGAACGTTCGTGATAGGAAGATTGTTCATTTTGGTGCTGAAAAGAGGGATGAGTTGAATGATGTGGAAAGATTCGGGAAAGACGATGATGGCGGGTTGGTTGATAACCTGGATATGGACCAGCCACTAAAGGGGGATAACCCTCAGGGAAATGCTGATGATGTGGAGTATACCTATTATGATGAACCGGAAAAAGATGACCAAAAAGTTCAAAGGTCTAATTTTAAGAAAGACACACATGTTGTGAAAAGTCATCATAGGAATAAAAGTCATAATCAGCATGAAAGCAGACGTTTGGTTCGTGATCCGAAAAGTCAGGACCCAATTGGAAAGACAATGTTCATAGTATTCTCTGTTTGCTTTCTGTTTTTGTTTTTCTTAATGTACAGATTTATAAAGAAACGCCGGATTCATATTCGCTACCATCCAAGGACAATGTTCAGCTTGTGAGTTGTGTGCGATGTTGCTTTATGATGCTGTTTGTGTTGTTGCTGCTATCAACCCCATACTGCTGTTGGTCTGTCATCAACTGCCTCACCCATATTGTAGATCACATTGCCTGATGTAACACTTGGTATGGACTGAAGGGGTCTGTACATAGACCAATTGAATCTCTCAGGTATAAGTGCAGGGCTTCGCTAAACTTGATCACTTCTTGGGTGGGCTTTGCTAGCTGCATGGGAGGGGCTTATTTCTGAGTATCTGCTTTGTCTGAGGTTAAGGATGTTTTGTCAGGGTGCTACAATTAGGAGGAAGGGGTAACAGAGTTGTTCTGGTTGTTTCAATAACGTTCACACAAAGCATCATATTGACCACATTTCCCTTGTGGGTATAGACCGGTGGGCTGGGCCAACATCAATCAAACACCTCTGCATAGAGATTTGCCAGTCTCATCTACACTACTCAAATTTGATAGGGATAATCAGATCATTCTACACACTGGACAGATTATGAGGATCAGTTTGTGTATCTTGCATGGAGAGATAAAAAATATTCTTATCCAAAGCGGAGTAGTATATTATTGATAAGCAAAACTACATACGTTTCAAAAACTGTTAAAAGAAATCAAAAGTTAATTCGTCCAAATTCATGCATTGTATGGTGATGATGGCATGATCTCATATAATAGGAACTAAGAGTTTGTGTAGTCTTCATCTCTCCAACTTTTTAAATGGACTTAACAGTTATTCTTTACCTGTTTAAGGGACTAATCCCGCTCTCTTATGTAAAAAAAACATGTTTATTCAGATATATTTTTAAAGAAATAATCTGTTCAACAAAAAACTAAAAACAATTCAATATTTACAAAAGGAATAATTGCTTGCTTGGCAGGATGGCTGTCCTGATAATTAAGTGTTATTTTGTTGTTTAACACCATACTCAGCAATATTCCAGTTATGTCATAAAGAACTGTATATGATTGAGTCAGGATCAGACAATGCAGTGATTGATCTTGTGAGGAATGATTCAGACCGCCGTGGTACGATGACATGCATCAACCAAGTCATCGAGTCTGACCAACCGATCTATTTAGCAACCTAATGACCAGTATTGTCTGCTAAGGACGTATTCAAACCTGGAATCCCAGCAAGCATATGTTGTGAAAAAAAAACAATCGGTACTTGTTTCGTAGAAAAAAAATTTCATTTTGAAGCAGTGACTGAAACCAATATCTTGTCTCTAAAACAATCTCAGTCCTCCACCACCAAGTCATCCAAAATATTAAGGGGTCGGTAATTTTTGTCCAATTGTGCTTTGTAATGCATGTATTACATTTTTAGCTGATCAGCAATAGCGGACATTCCTCTACTCTTGGGGTTGCGTCCCTTGGGCACACCAGAAACCTATGATTGTGGGTTCGAATCCCCGTTCACCCCGATTATGTTTCTAGGTTTGTCAGCACCATACCCGTGCTCGTGGGTTTCACCTAAGTGGTAAACGTCTGAGACCTGCATCACTTTGGGATATCTTCCCACATTATGCTGACACGCCGTGATATAACTGGAATACTGTTAAAAGCGGCGTTAAACCCAACTCACTCACTCACTCTACTTCTGAGACACTACTTGAAACAACAAACAGAATTTGTAATCCCTGAGTTCAGTATGTTCTCGTATAGCAGCTAATGCTTGCTGTTTATATATGACTGCATCAGTCATCTGTTAAATATACTACTATAAAGAAGTTAAAGAACACCTGATTCTTCCATATTGCGGTACTATAGTTAATCTGTCATATTAATATGAAGGATTTGGATGGTCTTTTACTTGTTTTGAGTTGTATGTGTTGCTAAGGTCATCGGTTTCTGTTAGATGAACCCTCCTCCATGGTCTAGTGTTAGAGTGTCTGCCCATTGAGCGGAAGTTCGGGGGTCATACCAAAAGACATTAAAAGATGGTACTTGTTGCTACCCTGTCTGGCGCTGGGCATTTAGGGGCTAACACAAGGACTGGTCAACTCGGAGTCAGTATACTTGGTCTGAGTGGCGTATTCATGTTAAACTGTGGGATGGTATCTCAGTGGGCTAGCACTATTATGTCGGCATTAGTCCGGACTAGTACAAGTAGCCACACAAACACACACACACACACACACACACACACACACACACACACACACACACACACACACGTGCATGCACATGGCTATGTAAGTGCAATAATCTTAGACATTAAACTCCATTTCACCCTGCCTGTTAGATGAAGATGATGTGGACATGTTATTGGACACAACCAGAACAGCTTATTCCATCTAGTCTGGAGCCAGGTCACTTGGATGATTGTGTCCATTGTCTTGCCTACCTGGAGCCTGTGAATGGATGAGTGAGTGAGTAAATAATGGTCATGCTATTACCGTAGCAATATTGCAGCAATGTCACACTGACGTCATCACGATAGTTTAAGTAAACCGAGGGGTGAAAGTATGACCTACTATCCACCAAATGACACACGGTCAACCAGCTTTATCGTCTTGGTAACCCATTAAGGTACAATTGTACCATGGCATTTTAGAATCATGCATTTTGATTGGTCTTCAGCGGTATTGAATCGCCGCAGACCACCCAGGGATTTGGAGTGGGAGTAGTAGAAGTGTGACATAGCTATTCTTATTGTGTGCAAGGTGGTAGACCATGAAGACTGTACAAGTTGTTTTCAGTGAGGGTCATATTTCTAACAAAAGCAGAATATTCAAATATTCTTTGTACCAAATATGGAGACATCATTTTGATGCTTGATCCCAAGAATCATGATTTTAAACATGCTTTAATATGCTTATGAACCACACATATTGCGTGGCAAGAGCAAGATTATATTGACATTTTGTTATGTTATTTTGATTACTTAAAGAGCACATCAAAACATTAGATCAAACAGTTTGCTAAATCTGCTCTAACTGCTGTGGAGATGTTAGTTCTCATTAAATCTCCATGAATTCCATGAGTTTAATTTCATCCCAGGCCTGTTTTGTTTTTGAATTTTCTTTGTCCATGTGCAAATTTCAAACAGTGAAGAAAAGTATTAATGGAGTATTTTTTTAACAGTTGGGCCCTGATGTTTTTCGTGAAGCGGGAGAAACATTCATTGTACGACCAGTTTGCTTTTTGCTTTCCAGATGTTCATGATCAATGTGTCACAAGGCAGGATGCTGGGTTCATATACAATCCATGTCCCCCAAACATTGGGACTGATAAAACAATTCACACAAAAGATGTTAAAAATAGTATGTTTTCAGTCAAACACAGACTTCTCTATTTATTGTAAAATATACTTTTTCTGACTCGAGGGCACGTTCTTTAAACAAATTTACGCATTGATCTTGTCTGATCTAAGAACTGACAAGATTTTAAATAATGATTGTACAGCTTTTATAACTTGTTTCACTTGGCGAATTTTTTTATTTTAAAAACAGTTGTTGTTTTTTTTGGGGGGGGGGTTCTGCCAGAAATAAGGAAAATGTTTGAAAATAAATCATTTACTGTCACTATCAATATAAGTAAACTATTTAAAGTACTAGAATTAATGCCCGTTGATAATTTATCTTATAAAATTCAAAACACAACGAATTATGATAAATCATTAGCAGAAATTTGGATTTTATAAACATTTATATTTTTACATTTTTTTAACCTACCAACCTGAACGTTTGAGCCAAAATTCAGTCACCCCCCTACCACCAACAACATGGGCACGACAGATTAACCATAGTAAATGAAAGAATTGGGTTATCCATAACTGTTTTTTTTGTGATGTTGTTTTCACTGTACAGAGCAGATCAAGATTTGCCAAAAAGACTTTCCACCTAAAGACTAAATCAAAAGTTTCAGCTATATTACTAAATGCATGAACGATTCCAGTTTTTATGTAAACCATTTTCATATCATATGCAAATGTTTTAGTGAAGAAGGACCGAGATAGTCCAATGTGTTTCCAAGCGTTTGGATTTTTAGATGTACCTGTGTCATTATTTGTTTCACATATATCTTAATATGTGTCCAAGCAAGAACTTTCTGCCATATATAATATTCTTAATGAAAGCTTGTCTTTGAATGTTATTCAAAGAAATGAACTTAAATTGTATTTTTCTTTTGTAGATTTTAACATTTATTTCAAATATGACATTATATTGCCACTTACAAGTTTTTTGTTGCAAATGTTTATTGATAAATTATGTGATTTAAGATATTCTGTTTTGTCCTCATTATAATCAATATACAGGAGAAACCACCAAGGCGTATGTCCATTCACAATTCATACCAAGCTTTTTGTATATCAATGTGCATCTTCATATAAATTGCTGAAATCAAAACTTGAAACAAAATGGTTGTATTTACCATGGATTATTATGGCTTGGTGCAAAATCATCTCCACTCCCCCATGTTTTATGGCGGCTGATGACATCTGTTTTCTCCAACTCACCTGGTCAGGATATACAATGACATGTGAAAGATTGTTTGAGTGAGTGAGTGAAAGATCTTTTATGCCCATGTCCGCAGTATTCCAGCAATATCACGGCAACATGTAATGAACCTCAGCTAGGAAACCAACTAATCCACACGTTGAGGAACACACAACTAGGTCACACACTAGCCACCCAATCCTCATTGCTGGGTCATCCATAGATGAGTGGAGGATCTCCTACCCTGTATCCTGTCTCTTCCTGACCATCTTAGGTATTCCCGTGAAGATCCGGGGTAGAATAGGTCTTCAGCAACCCATGCTTGCCGTAGAAGGCAACTATGCTTGTTGTAAAAGGTGACTAACGGGATCGGGTGGTCAGGCTCGCTGACTTGGTTGATGCATGTCATCGATCCCAATTGCGCGGATCAATGCTCATGATATTAACCACTGGACTGTCTGGTCCAGACTCGATTATTTACAGACCGCCGTCTAAAGCTGAGATATTGCTGAGTGCGGCGTTAAACAACAAACCAACCATCCAACGGTATTCCCAGTGTGGTTGTCATCGTTGATTTCACACAGACATTACTGATATTTTAACAAATTGCCTGTGCAATTTGTTCCAGGCCCTGACCATCCTTCTTTTGATCTTTCATATCTGCATCAAATATTCTTGTTGCCAGGCACTGTGGGTGGTATATCTCAGTTAAAGCCCATGTATTTACAGGACGTATACCTTGGGGTATAACTTGTTCTCGTGTAGATGATCATTGATTGCAAAATTGTCGTATAGCTTTCTTATAGTACCTTTTTCAAACATCTCAGTGGTGCGACTGTTTAGACATCACCATCTGTCCTACAACCCTTATTGATCAGTTAGGACCCACCCTCAACATCTGGAAAAGATTCCGAGAGAATGCCATACGATAACTGTTATTTAACCCTCCCCCGAATGTGTGGCACACTGACCGTCATTTTCCTTTACATCCAGTTGAGCTACATGCAGTCCCTTGTTGTTTACCATGTCATTCCACAGTGAAGCCCTGTTGGTCAAGAAACCCTCTTTCCTAACAATTGCTGCACATGTACAAAGGACTTTGGGCTGACACTGACAAATTAATCTGTTATTTGTAAATCAGCATGATTTACTTACTTTCTGATGCAAATTGGCAAATTGTGTGAGTGGCTGGTGCTGTGGCCGGACTAGGACATGTTTACCCTTATCGCGAACACCTGGTGTCATCACTGATTTCAGTGATCCCTTCACATAATATTCATCACTATTGTCCCTTTTGTACCCAATGGAAGCTGTTTCGGCAGATAGTGGAGTCTGATTAGTCCCTGGCGTGGACGTTTTATACTTTAGGGTATGGTACAGACCAGATTGAGAGGGTTTCAGATTAACAGGGTTTCTCTGTATGTTTAACTACACATACCTAATCAGGCATTAACGGCATTAAGGGTGACAAACCCCTTCATCCTATAGTGAAATTCTCAATGAGCATCCTCGACCCGGGGATTGTACCATATTATTGTCAAGATCTGTAAATGTCTTAACAGTATCTGCACTAACCAGGCACTATGTTTATTTGATGCTTATTTATTGTATGTGTCTATCTGTGATGTTAGAAGACATGATCTGCTTTGCTGGAATCCAGATCCTGACTTGTAATCTCAGATTTTAGTTCTTCATCGCTTGCCTTGTCATAAATTGTCATAAGACTATTACCATTATTGATCATTATACCATTGACAGCAACTGTTATTACAGAGGCATGTTATTGTTATTATATGGTTTACATGTCCACTGACCTTATAAATCCAGCTTTAGGCTTTTTTATTATTTCCAAACCTTAGAATAAAAGTGATCCATGCCCATTGACCTGTAAGTGTTCACACACATACTATGAATAACTTCACTGGCATTCAAGATGTCTTTTTGCCATGTAAATACTTTTAAATATTTAACATTCACGTTACCTTTCAAAGAAGTACCAAAATAAAAGTAAGAAACATTCTAATCCAATAGCTCTACTTTATTGAAAGAAAAAATGCCTAATTAATATTTATTTTTGTTTCAATCATTAACCAAAGGTTTTGAGGTAAACCAACTGATAATAATAGAAAGGTCTGATGTTCCTGGGAACCTATCTGTGAGTGGCTTTGAAGACAGTATTATAGAAGCTGTAAGACGCTGGGTTATCTCCCCTTTACTGGCATTGTAAGGTGTGAGTATCCAGATTGAAACATTGCACTTTTTCAGACGTCATCCACATATCTTGGCAGTCTTTCTCCTTACATTAACCAAAGCCTAGTGGTTAAACCGTTTGCTCGTCATGCTGAAGACCCGGGTTCGATTCCCGACATGGGTACAATGTGTGAAGCCCATTTCTGGTGTCCCCTGCCGTGATATTGCTGGAATATTGCTAAAAGCGGCGTAAAACCATACTCACTCACTCACAACATTAACCAAAGATCCTAATGATGACTAAGTAAGGCTGAGGACATTCTTGATTCTCGGGAAATAATAGTTTGGCAGACAATATGAAGTGTACTGCCAAGGTGTCTTGATCATGATGTGAACAAATGATTCAAAGAGTCTGATGTGGCACATTGTCATTCAGCTGAAACGATAAGGCATAGGAATGAAGACTTGTGTAAATTATTTTAGTAATTGTGTTTCTATAAACTGTTCACAGAATGCCAGTCTTATTTAGTACATAGTGTTCTATTGAAACTGTATTCGTGGACCCCTGCACATCTGTAATTTAATCTACAGTGTATATGCCAAGTGTGTGGAAATGTGTGCAATTGTGATCCTTAATGACCTGACTATTTTAAATGAATTTGAATTTGATAGTGTCACAAATATTTTAGAATAGCGGGTGAGCTACATAACCTCTTGGAATATCATTTCTCTTGCATCAGAAATAAGTGTTCGTCATGTGCAAGACGTGGGAGTGTTTGACATATATGGAACCTTTAGTCCAAATGTTCCATTGAATATATTTTTAAATCATTTTATCTGTGACCAAGAATGGCTAAGGTTGCTTACAAAAGTTGTATGATTACCTGGATCTTCCAAGGCATGTTCTGTGTTTTTAATCTGCTGTGGAATGTTCCCTGACCTGTACAGTGATAAGAAACATCTGTTCAACTTTCATGCTAGCTTCTCCTTGGCTTGTCTACCTGACTAAAGTTAATTGCCAGTGGTACTGAGCGCAGGTACAAAATCGAAAGAGCATTTTGTAAATATGTCAATGACTGTCCATCCTACACAACAGTTTTACTATCGGCAGTGTAATTAACTCAGAACCATCTGGCTGTACGTGTTGTGGGTAGGGATGTTGGTGTTTGCTGATTGTGTGTCCATGTCTCACATGTTAACTGGGTAACTGTCACCTGTGAAGCCAGGGAATGGTCTTCATCTCCCTACACAATCATTGTTTGGCTATTTATAAATGTGTGTTATGACCATTTTAATCATGTTTTTGCATTTCTTTCTCTGAAGGTCACATGCTGATGATAGACCAGATTTGGAAAATCTGAAGATTTTGTAGTTCTGGGGTAAATGTGTCAAGACATGATACAAACCTACATGACATAAACCTACATGACACAAAAGAAAGATACAAACATACATGACACAAACATACATGACACAAACATACATGACACAAACTGATGATACAAACATACATGACACAAACATACATGACACAAACATACATGACACAAACTGATGATACAAACATACATGACACAAACATACATGACACAAACATACATGACACAAACATACATGACACAAACATACATGACACAAACTGATGATACAAACATACATGACACAAACATACATGACACAAACTGATGATACAAACATACATGACACAAACATACATGACACAAACTGATGATACAAACATACATGACACAAACATACATGACACAAACTGATGATACAAACATACATGACACAAACATACATGATACAAACATGATACAAACATACATGACACAAACATACATGATACAAACATGACACAAACATACATGACACAAACTGATGATACAAACATACATGACACAAACATACATGATACAAACATACATGATACAAACATACATGACACAAACATACATGATGCAAATATACATGATACAAACATGATACAAACATACATGGCACAAACAGATGATACAAACATACATGATGCAAATAAACATGATACAAACATGATACAAACATACATGACTCAAACAGATGATACAAACATACCTGATACTAACATGATACAAACATACCTGATACTAACATGATACAAACATACATGATTCAAACATGATACAAACATTCATGATATAATCATGATACAAACATACATGATACAAACACATGATGCAAGGGGGTAAAAGTTAGGTTATCAGCAACGTTCTATTTCTTGTGAAAATCTGCTACCAAAACGATTTTCGTAAAATCTTGTCCTATGGCATAAATACAATTTTTTCACAGGATGTTTTCCTGATGTTCGAGCCGAGACATTTTGATTGTGATAATGCATTTTGGGAAATCATGCTTTTTGTATGAGGAAGTTGTTGGTTCAAATCGGAAAGTTGAAATATGTTTCCTAATGGACGTGAGGCATTCACAAAACATGAATATGAAACTGATGTAATTTAGTAAGCCATTGCTAAAAAATTTCCCAGTTTTGAAACAGTGTTAACTCAAGTTTACTAGCACCATGGCTGTGCTTGTGGGTTTCACCAAAGTGGTAAACCTCCAAGACCTGCATCACTTCAGGCTGTCCTCCCACCTTAAGCTTACACGCTGCAATATAATTAGAATACTGTTCAAAGTGGCGTTTCATCTATAGACATGGCTTAGATGTTTCATGAGACAATCAAGATTAGAGCTTTTGCCTGCTGTAACACATTAATACATGACAGATATCAAGCTGCATACCCCATGTACAGATATTGATATGGCTCACATCGGTTCTTCAGCAAGGTCTCCCAGAAACCTTGGTTATGAATTTGAAAAGCTCTCAATGTTGTTTTTAGATCTTTTAAAAGCATTTATGGTAAAGCACATTATGTGATTGTTGTGTTTTGCTCCAGCCAGGTTACACGGTGATCTGTCTATGGCTTATATGAAATTTACCTAAACATATGATACTTTCAAGAATATGATAAGTAACGTGATATTACTCTTATAGAGAATCTGTGATAGTAAGTTGCTGATAGATAATAATGACTACTGCTTAAAATAGGTGTTGAAAATGGTGTCTATTAATCCCAACTAAAGCTACTATCGACACTTGATGTGGTAGCAGCCCAGACAGAGCTGCAACTATGTAAGATTGTTCCGATAGGCAGGCTGTTGGAATGTTCTGATAGGCAGGGTCTTGGAATTTCCAACAGGCAGGCTGTTGGAATGTTCCGATAGGCAGGGTCTTGGAATTTCCGATATCCAGGCTGTTGGAATGTTCTGATAGGCAGGGTCTTGGAATTTCCAATAGGCAGGCTGTTGGAATGTTCCGATAGGCAGGGTCTTGGAATTCCGATATCCAGGCTGTTGGAATGTTCCGATAGGCAGGGTCTTGGAATTTCTGATATCCATGCTGTTGGAATGTTCCGATAGGCAGGGTCTTGGAATTTCCGATATCCAGGCTGTTGGAATGTTCCGATAGGCAGGGTCTTGGAATGTTCCGATATCCAGGCTGTTGGAATGTTTCGATAGGCAGGGTCTTGGAATGTTCTGATATCCAGGCTGTTCGAATGTTCCGAAAGGCAGGCGGTTGTAATGTTCTGATATGCAGGCTTTTGGAATTTTTTGATAGGTAGGCTGCTGGAATGTTCTGATAGGTGAGTCGTCAGAATGTTCAGATAGGTGCGCCGTCAGAATGTTCAGATAGGTGCGCCGTCAGAATGTTCAGATAGGTGCGCTGTCAGAATGTTCAGATAGGTGCGCCGTCAGAATGTTCAGATGGGCAGGCTGTTAGAATGTTGATATGTGCAGGCTCTATGGCCACACTAAGATAGTGCTCTGGAAGCTGACACATCTGTGTGGTAGATGGTCACGTGGAGCTGCAACTATGTTAGAATGTTCAGATAGAATGCTGTAAACTGACACATCTGTGTGGTAGATGGTCACGTGGAGCTGCAACTATGTTAGAATGTTCAGATAGAAGGCTGTAAACTGACACATCTATGTGGTAGATGATCATGCTGAGCTGCAACTATGTTAGAATGTTCAGATGTGCTGGCTGTTGTATAGCAGATTCTATCCACACTGATATTTATATATAAGCATTATTTGGGATATCTATGCTAAACTTGTTTTATGATTTCTCAGATCACAGTGCAATAATTCAGTTCAACCTAGTTTTGTATCTAGTCTTTCCTAAATCAAAACAAAGAAATAAAGTGTATATTCTGATAATACCATAGTTTATTTGTTCTCTTTGAGATGCCAGTATATTGACATAACCAGATATCTTCATCACTTCTGGCTTTGTCCCACACTAAGATGACAGGAGGTGATATAACTGGAGTACTGTTCGAAGCAGCATTAAACCCAACTCACTCACTCTATTGGGTGGCATGTACCATACAAACAAATTCAGTGTCGCCCTGATGTGGGAATATTGCAACTAACCAGTCTAAGTAATTGGGTCAGTGTTATCCAATGACACCACAAGGTCAATCTGGAATGGTACTGGTCCCCAGTAGCATATTTGTATCCGAGGCCTGTGGTCAGGCTTGATTGATTGCATGTCTTCTTACCCCGAATGTATGGGTTGTTGCTTATTATGCCAACCACTGGCGTATCTGGCCCAGACTTTATTATGTACAGGCTGCCTTGATATAGCTTGAATATTACAGAATGAGGCTCAATATGGTCCCGAAAAAGACATCAGTGACCTCAGGGACATCAGTATGGTGTCTGACACAGTGTCACCAATATGGTTCCTGACACAGTGTCACCAATATGGTGCCTGACCAGTGTCACCGATATGGTGCCTGACCAGTGTCACCGATATGGTGCCTGACACAGTGCCACCGATATGGTTCCTGACCAGTGTCACCAATATGGTGCCTGACACAGTGTCACCAATATGGTGCCTGACACAGTGTCACCAATATGGTGCCTGACCAGTGTCACCGATATGGGGTCTGACACAGTGTCACCGATATGGTGTCTGACACAGTGTCACCGATATGGTGCCTGACACAATGCCACTTATATGGTGCCTAACACAATGCCACTTATATGGTGTCTGACACAGTGTCACCGATATGGTGCCTGACACAATGCCACTTATATGGTGCCTGACAGTGTCACCAATATGGTGCCTGACCAGTTTCATTGTTATGGTGCCTGACACAGTGTCATCAATATGGTGCCTGACACAATGTCACTTATATGGTGCCTGACACAGTGTCACCAAAGTAGTGCCTAACCAGTGTCGCCAATATGGAACCTGACCAGTTTCACTGATATGGTGCCTGACACAGTGTCACCAATATGGAATCTGACCAGTTTCCCCAATATGGTGCCTGACCAGTGTCGCCGAAATGGTGCCTAACCAGTGTCGCCAATATGGCGCCTGACCAGTGTCACCAATATTGAACCTGACCAGTTTCACTGATATGGTGCCTGATACAGTGTCACCAATATGGTGCCTGACACAATGTCACTGATATGGTGCCTGACACAGTGTCACCAATATGGTGCCTGACACAATGTCACTGATATGGTGCCTGACACAGTGTCACCAATATGGTGCCTGACACAATGTCACTGATATGGTGCCTGACACAGTGTCACCAATATGGTGCCTGACACAATGTCACTGATATGGTGCCTGACACAGTGTCACCAATATGGTGCCTGACACAATGTCACTGATATGGTGACTGACACAGTGTCACCAATATGGTGCCTGACACAATGTCACTGATATGGTGCCTGACACAGTGTCACCAATATGGTGCCTGACACAATGTCACTGATATGGTGCCTGACACAGTGTCACCAATATGGTGCCTGACACAATGTCACTGATATGGTGCCTGACACAGTGTCACCAATATGGTGCCTGACACAATGTCACTGATATGGTGCCTGACACAGTGTCACCAATATGGTGCCTGACACAATGTCACTGATATGGTGCCTGACACAATGTCACTGATATGGTGCCTGACACAATGTCACTGATATGGTGCCTGACACAGTGTCACCAATATGGTGCCTGACACAATGTCACTGATATGGTGCCTGACACAGTGTCACCAATATGGTGCCTGACACAATGTCACTGATATGGTGCCTGACACAATGTCACTGATATGGTGCCTGACACAATGTCACTGATATGGTGCCTGACACAATGTCACTGATATGGTGCCTGACACAATGTCACTGATATGGTGCCTGACACAATGTCACTGATATGGTGCATGACCAGTGTCCCCAATAAGGCACCTGACACGGTGTCGCCAATATGCCAATGTGACACCAATATGGTGCCTAATCTAGTATTACTGATATTGCGCCTGGCCTAGTGGTACAAGTGTACTCATCAAGTATAGATAAATTATCTTGAGCTCAGAATAGACCTGATCAGTGAACATCTGTCGACTGAGCACTTCACTGCCAAATGTCGGCATACTTCAGTTATCGGTTTCATAATGTCAGAAGAACGTCATATATAGAAACGCTGACACAAAAAAATAGCTTCATGTATTTGTATTGATGCAAATATGTCCATTACAAATTACACAACTGACTTCGGCACACTGCATTTCCTTTTTCACTCCAAGAAACATCACGTTTCTCGGTGTATTTCTCAGCATGACTGCGGTCCAACTGAATAATGTCCGGGAGTGTTCGGGAGCGCCCGGACCATTCGCGAACAACTCGTCCCATTCCGGGAGAAGCCCAATGTAACTAATTTAATGTTATATTTGGGATAAAACTTTCTTAGGAAAGTACTGATTCTCGTACCGTTTTGGGTCGAGTCCCGTGCGAGTCCAAATGTAGACTCGCGCCCCTCTCGAAGGTTTCAATATTGGCGTACGAACACGAGAACTACTTCAAACAAGAACGATAACTCTTATTCTACCCTTAGTAAAGGTAGATCTATAGTTAAGGGGATGTAGGAGTTACCGCAACGTTCGCTTATTCCTGTTGAAAATGTATTGAACCTCTCTGATATAAATACTGGTATATTCTTTTGTACAAAAGTATATTTGGCAAGCCATTCAACTCATTCATTCTCAGCTGTTTATATTTTATTTGCAAATTGTTAATTTTAAATTAGATATTAAAATTAGATAAAGAAAACTGGCAAGTCCGGTTTTCGGATTTAAACATCATTGTTAAAGCACTAGTTATGGAAGAGAAGTGTCTCTATAAATGCCAGTGCTAGCTGTTAGACATTAAATTATACCCCAGAGTAATGTCCACAAAGCCATACTTATAGATAGTTAATAAAATCTCAGGTGAGGAAATTCAGCTATCTCTCTTGTATCATGTTCACTTTAACAATTCTTATATTTCAGTACAACATATTTTTTTTTTAGATTTCCTTTTATGTTTCTTGTCTTTATTTTAGTATGAGCTATCTTGGTCTGTCACAACTAAATTTGTAAATATTGCAAATTCAAGTAGACTAAAGCGTTCTCAACACAATATCACACAAGCACGCTCGTACGCACGCACGCACGGACGCACGGACGCACACACATACAAACACACACATACATACATGGGTACACTGTGTGAAGCCAACTTCTGGTGTCCGCCGCCGTGATATTGCTGGAACATGACGGTTGTACCAGAACAAGGCGTATTTGGAGAAGCCCAGATGTCGCACTTAATCATTTTTTCCGAGACAATGGAGTTAACTGACTATAAATGTCCAGTTTGCCGAACTAGGCTGGAAATATGGGGTTATATTTCGGCTGGACTAACGATGCATAGCCCAATAAAAATCGCGTGACAAAATCGACATCCGGTTGCGATTGCGGTCGATTGCAGGATTTGCAAAGCAAATGTAGGGTCAACTTAGCGTCAACAGATATTTTCCAAATCTTTGCATGTTTTTTTTGTTTTTTGTTATCAAAGTGTTTACGTGATCTGATGCCCTTCGCGAAGTAAGACCCGTTTTATTACAATATAAATCTTGATAATCAATCAAATCGTCTTGACTGGGCGCCGCCATTTTGTTTGAAGCAAATGCAGTGATATCAGAGGTGGAATCTGATTGGTCAATAGGAGGAACATAAAAGGGACATAACTCGTAATAGCCACTGGTGGCGCTACGATCGAGCCAAGAAATTCCAGCCTAGTTCGGCAAGGGTGGAAACTGAACTTTTACCGTCAGTTAAGTCCGTTGCCTCGGGAAGATGCACTTGATAAAATGGCTGCCGAAACAAACTACATCGTTTCCATAGGTTACAACAGTGAAATTACACCCTCCAGCGTCGCCCGTATTTCTCAGTGTCTGAACCTGCAGGTTTGACGTCGTGAATCTTATCGCTCTGCATGTCCAGACTCGAATGAGCGCTCCCCAAGTCGCCGTCATTCCTTGCTTGGACTTGGACTCAATCATCGCCCTGCATGTGGACAGTAGGAGATTGATAATTGGTTATAGTCATTCACCCTATACTAAATTACCAGTCTCAATTTAAGTGACAATTTCACGTATTTTGCCGCTACGTAACACAACGCCCTGAACAGTTCATATGATATTTAACTGCCTCAACAAGGTAAGTTTTTATGCCTTTTCTGAAGAATATTATTCGTCAGTAGATTCATACTCAGAAAAAAACGTACACAGTATGAATTATATACACATGCACAAAAGTTAAGCGCCACCCACCATATTTGTGAGCTGTTACTTTTGGCACTTAATGATGACTATTATAACGAGATGTACGATTGCTATAAGCCGTATATGTAAACCTCATGTAATGCAAAAGTTGTCCCAAAGCAAGTTTATCTTTTGTTCCAAAAGAATATGAGCAGAAAGGAATTTTACCGAAGACCAGAAATTGAAGGATTAGAAAACAATGAAATTTTTTTTTGTCATGTAACTGTCATGATATCAGATCAGGTGTCACATAGACACCCTAGGGAGTGCAGAGTCTATTGCAAGACAGTAACGTCAGTAACGTGTGTATGATCCACGGACATTGACCACAGCTTCAACCCTACGCCTCATACTCATTACAAGTCGTTGAATGCTACTCTGAGGCAAACGGATCCATTCTTCGTGAAGTGCGGCTTCAAGTCCAGCGATATTTTGAACTGGGGGATCACGATGTCTGATTTTCCGGCCAAGAATGTCCCAGAGATGCTCAATCGGATAAACATCCGGACTACAGGCCGGCAAAGGAAGAGCGGCAATAGCTTCTTGACGCAAATAAGCCAAAACTGCCCGAGATCTGTGTGGTCTAGCATTGTCGTCCATGTAAACAGGTCTTGTTTGAAGAGGATGGTCGTCAAAATGAGGGACTACCACTGGACGAAGAACGGCATCTTGGTATTGTTGGCCATTCAGGTTTCCACGAATTGTCACCAGCGGAAGTATGCAGCCGAAAGGAAACACAACCCCATATCATGACAGACCCCCCGCCACATGCTAAGGTCTTCTGGATGTTCCTTGGTGCAAAACGAGTGTTACGTTGCCTCCAAACACGTATATGACCATCAACAGTTCGTAGCAGCATTCAACACTCGTCAGACCAATGGATCCTTCTCCAGTTGGCCAAGTTCCATCGACTACGGGCACGACATCATATCAGACGATTCCGCATGTGCCTCTCAGTCAGTTGAGGACGTTTTACTGGTCTTCTGGCGACACCTTACGGATATCGTCGAGAGTCTCTGATGGGTAATCCACTGCAGTCTTAAATCTGTTGAAGTGGCAAATGGATTTCGTCTGACTATCCTGAAAAGACGTCTATCCTCTCTGTTAGAGGTCTTTCTTGGCCTACCACACCTATGCCTGTCATTGACATCATTGGTTTGACCATGTTTGACAATCAAACAAATGATTACACTGTGATGACGACCTATTTGTCTTGCAATGGCCCTGCATGACATGCCAGCATTTTTCATGCCTATCACTTGCCATCTTTCAGCGTTCGTTAAATTTCTCCTCACCATGGTTGATTTTCAACCTCTATTGGAAGGGGAATCTCACACAGGAGCAAAATGCAACCACGTGTCTGAATCTTGAATTTCACTATTTAGGGGTAGGGGAACTACAGCAACACGTAAAGCACGCTTTCCTTTTGGTATCTGGACAAATTTGGGTTCATGAAACTATGGAAGCCTAATTCAGTCATACATCATCATATTCCGTATTTCTGATTCCCACACGTGAAATCAAGAGACTATGAATATGGTGGCGCTTCTCTTTTGTGCATGTGTATACATACACGCATGCTTAATATTCACCTAATTGACTGTCAGTTGATATCACCGAGGACGAGGTATTTTGGCTTGAAATAGTTAAAAAAGTAAATTTAGTTAATAGTAAATTTCCCGTTATGCTAGGTATTTGGCACACATTGTTAAATATGAATGAAATCTTAAAGTGTGTGGAATGCAATATGAGAATGAAATCTTAAAGTGTGTGGAATGCGATATGAGAATGAAATCTTAAAATGTGTGGAAGGGATATGAGAATGAAATCTTAAAATGTGTTGAATGCGATATGACGAAACTCAACCGGGCTTTAGATGGAATCAGATATACACCAGGGGGGATTCCGGGTTCGAATTGGTGCCCAGTAACCTGTGGTTTAATTGTCAGCCTCTATGGAGCATTGCGTGTTACTCCGACAGCATAGTGTGTAGGTGATGATTATTGATGATCACACGATTGCTTGGTCCAGACTCGATCACCTAAGGCCACCGTCATATACATTGTAACTGAACTGCGAAGGGGTATAATATGGAACTGAACCATTGCCGTCATCTTTAATTTTTGTTCCATCTCTTCTCCAGGTCAGCTATTCCTGTTTTGTAGGTACGATTCTTAGTACTCATTAAATCTCTGACCACGCAAGTATTCTCTTTTAAATTCGAAACAGTTGGTACCCGTGAAGATTCCGAGGTAGAATAGGTCTTCAGCAACCCATACTTGCCGTAAAAGGCGACTATGCTTGTCGTAAAAGGCGACTAACGGGATCGGGTGGTCAGGCTCACTGACTTGGTTGATGCATGTCATCGATCCCAATTGCGTGGATCTATGCTCATGATGTCAATCACTGGATTGTCTGGTCCAGACTCGATTATTTTACAGACCGCCGTCATATAGCTGGAATATTGCTGAGTGCGGCGTTAAACAACAAACACACAAACGAAACAGTTGGCAAAGGTAATCACCTTTGGTGAGATCTGGTGAATAAGGTGAAATGGGTAGAATCTCATAGCCACATTCCAATACAGCAGCCATTGCAACATTGCATCACTTCCGACTTTCCTCCCACATTAAGCTGACACGCCGTGATATAACTGGAATACTGTTAAAAGCGGCGTGAAACCCAACTCACTCACTCACTCAAATCTAAGCAGTAGGGTCCCTGAGAGTCGAAGTCAATTATGAACAAGTCTCTTGACTGAACCTCGCCGAGTGGTGACAAATGACTCAACAAATATAGATCAATACCGATACATGTCACACGTGATTGTTACAACAATCTAGATATAAAGACTTAAACGGATAACAACTTCTTTGTTGCTTGTAACGACATTTCGGACTACTTCTTATGGAATACTAGAAGGGACATTGTCGCGTTGTCGCATTGTCGCCCTTCCAATAACAAGTAAAAATTGTCAAATTTAACCAAAGCGCGACATTGCGACAATGCGACAACGGAACATTTTGACTATCATGATTTATTCCCACGTTCAAATTTTAAATGACCGAAATTACACGTTCACTATCTCACTAAAGAATAAGTTGCAGCACACGTGAACAGTGCTGATTAATCTTACCATATCATTAAAAAGGTGTCAATGTATAAACACATAGTATGCAAATGTAATGCACGACATGCATCAACTAATGTATACATAATAAATCGCGATTACATGTACTACATCTTTCATTGGATAAGAGTCGTTTCCTTATAACTGAAGCATTTATCCATGTTATATTTAAGCTCATGGCATAGAAATGTGTATGGTAATCGCCTGTGACATAAGTATGCAAATTAGATAACCGGAAAGGCCACCTGTTTCAACAGTGCGCATGACCGTGTGTTTTATCTACTTTGATAGATCAAAATGACAGTGCTACAGCGTTATCAGTATTACTAAATGGCTATATAAGGAGATAGATTGAAGGAATTTGAAGTTGACTGACACGTGGTTTTGGACAAAAATGTAAAACCTTGAGCCCCAGAAAAGCCTTAGGTTCTTTTAACTAACTTATGAAACGTCTAAATGCAAGAAATACCAGAAACGGAATAAAACATATTTGATAGACCACGTGCAGCAAGAAGACGACGGGTGTCATGGCAAGACTGAACATGCTTTCATCGCCTTCCCTAGTGGCTCAATGGGAAAAAAGTGGATTACAATGCTAAACATGTTATGTGAAGCTGCTAGTTCGATTCACTTAATAAAATTTAAATGTGCAAAAGAAATTGTCACCAAAAACAAACTCTCAGCAGGTCTCACTTGAAAGCAATAGCTCTCACAGGGTCACCATGGGTGTGATCCTTGTTGATTACTTAGAAAGACAAAAGACGATTACCGGTGCGTACTATGCTGATTTGCTTCATCGCCTGAAAGAAAGGCGGCGAGGAATGCTGACTTCTGGAGCTCTACGTTTTCATTACAATGCCTCTTCTCACTCCTCTCGACTTGCAAAGGCTGCTGTGCAACAATATGGGTTCGAAGAGCTTCCTCGCCCTCCATACTCGCCAGACCTGGCACCAAGTGATTTCCACCTGTTTCCTAAACTGACAGAACACCTTCGTGGGAAGCGCCATGACGACAACGATGACCTCAAAGCTGCCGTGAATGAGTTTCAGGGTGGCTTCAGAAAACTTCTTCCTGACTGGAATTGAAAAGCTTCACTATCGACATGAGAAGTGTGTTGAAAAGTAGGGAGATTATGTTGAAAAATAAATTATAAAACACTTTCGCAATTGTTGGTTTTGTTTGTTAGGCTTAGAACATTTTGACCACCCCTCGTATCAAACACCAGGTTACATAACTGAAATATTATAAGATTATTCTTAACAGTTCTAAACATGTGACGATCCTGCTTTATTCCCACGGTCAAGAATACATAAGTAAGCGAGACAACAAATTGCAGACACTCCATTGATCGTCGTCGTCGTCATGCTTGTTATCTGCCTGCACGTTCTCTTGGCTGTGTTTGCTGTTGCAGTCGCCGACCCCCAATATATCATCGACACGAGTGAGTGGATTGAGGAAACAACCCGTTTTGCGTCAAATATACTTCAAACTGTCACTATTATAAGAGTATTTTTATTTTATAAATAGTTTAATAACGCTCTGCATTCGTCTTTGCCAAATGTTATTGTTGCCAGTGGATAAGAATGAACGTCTGTTTGCTTTCGCGTCTGTTTTTGCGTTGTGTCTTAAGGTTTTGCTGCGATGAGATTATGTGTTATCACATTAATATATGATCTAAACTGCAGGTTATATAAGTAACGTGTTCTTTTACAGTAGGGTACACATGTGATCATGGTACAAAACCCGTAACTTCATGAACAGAGTTGCGTCCTTTAGCGGTACCAGGATCCGCTAATCGTCAGTTCGAATCCAAGATTCGACCGATCATGATCCTGCGTCTGCGAGCACTCTACCAATGTTACACATCTCAGATCTTCGAGATATTGTGCTTCCCCCCACATTACACTGACGCGGAGTGATATAACTGACATATTCTTCAACCTGTTTGAACCAATCTTAGGCGTTCCATTACTCTTTGGTCAGAGTACATGATCAGAAACATTATTTACTGTTTTGTATTTCGCCATCCTAGAGTGCCCGGACAAGCCAGCGGACATTGTTTTTGTTGTGGATGGATCAGGAAGCGAGGGGTCATCTAATTTCAGAAAGGAAACTACGTTTATAATCAATTTTGTACATAACTTCAATATTGGTCACTTAACATCTCAAGTCAGCCTTGTCCAGTTTGCAACGACGGTGCGGAACGAGTTCAATCTGAAGGACCACACCGATAACTCAAGTCTTAACAGTGCTATTTCTAGAATTCGATGGCTGAACGGCGAGACGTACACCGGAGACGCTCTCAACTACGTCGACAGGAACAGCTTCAGTCAAGCAAACGGTGGCCGTAACAACGTTGATAAGATCGTCATTGTCTTAACCGACGGTGAGTCAAACCATCCCAATGAAACCGCGGTCGCAGCGAAGAAACTCCACGACCGCCGTATTACCGTTGTTGCCGTCGGCATTGGCAGCGCCGTCAATCAGGATGAACTCAACGCCATTGCAAGTAACTCGAAGTATGTGTTCCTTGTGCCCAACTTCGATGCTCTTCACACAATTCACCAGAAACTAACGGATACAACCTGCAAATGTGAGTATCCCAGTGAAACGCTATACTCTTAAATTCCCAGAATATTTTGTTAAATAGTATAGATAACAGCCACGTTCTACCCGGCGAACAGGTATATAGACTGTCGTGTTTCATTGTAAAAGTGGTGAAACGTTCGGTCGTCATGCCGAAAATCAGGGTTCTATTCCACACATAGCTGCAGTGTGATACATTAACTCATTCTTGGGGCCCCCTACTGTTCTAAATCTGGCATACTGCTAAACGTGCAAAGCCATACTGATTCACTTTTCATTAACTAATTAGTATTGTTTGTTTAAAACATAATTTATTGTCCAAACAGACAATAGGATTGGGCTAAAGTCCAACACCTATTGCCGCCTTCTCCCTATAGTATGTTGCACGCGGTGTGTTATGTGTGTCTCATAGTATGTTACACACTGTGTGTTATGTGTGTCTCATAGTATGTTACACACTGTGTGTTATGTGTGTCTCATAGTATGTTACACACTGTGTGTTATCTGTATCTCATAGTATGTTGCACGCGATGTGTTATGTGTGTCTCATAGTATATTACACACTGTGTGTTATCTGTATCTCATAGTATGTTACACACTGAGTGTTATATGTATCTCATAGCATGTTACACACATTTTGCCTTATATGTATCTCATAGCATGTTACACATTGTGTGCTATGAGTATCTCATAGTATGTTACACACTGAGTGTTATATGTATCTCATAGCATGTTACACACTGTGTGTTAAACGTATCTCTTTGTGTGTTGCACAGCTCAATACACGCTGTGTTTCCATATAAATCTCGTAATATATTACGTTTTCACATTGTATGTTTCCAGTGTGTGACTCCTCACCCATTGACCTGGCGTTCCTTCTTGACGGGTCGGGCAGCGAAGCCAGGCACAACTATGGCAATCAGCTCGACTTTGTGAAGCTTGTCATTGGGGAACTCAACTTCCATGGCAATGGTACCCGTATCGCCATGGTAACATTTGCCACAAACGCCCACAGGGACTTCGATTTCAACACCTACAAAGATTTACACTCAATAAACAACGCCATCGACAAAACACATTACCCTAACGGAGAATCGTACACTCATTTGGGGCTGCAGTACCTCACCGACCACACATTCGCAACTAATATGGCTAGATACGGCTCCAAACACGTGGCCGTTGTTCTGACAGATGGGCGTTCTAATGAGGAAGATCTTACCAAGAGAGAGGCTACTCGTCTGAAGGCCCATGGTGTCTTAGTGATAAGCGTGGGTATCGGGTCTGACGTCCAGCAGGGAGAACTGAAAGCCATTGCATCGGGTGATCAGTATGTCCTCAACGTCAACTCCTCCGCGTCCTTGCCCTTGATCCACGACAAGGTCGTCGACCTCCTGTGTGAATGTGAGTCGTTGTTTTATTAATGATTAGGTTGCATTTATAGACTGCTACATTTCCTACATCCAACATTATTGACAAAAATAATAAAGAAAAATGAGTAGAGTATGAGTAGAAAGGTGTGTATCTCATAGTATCTTACATACAGTGTGTTATATGTATCTCATACAATGTTACACACTGTGTGTTATATTTATCTTATAGTATGTTACACACTGTGTGTTATATGTATCCCATATGTTACACAAACTGTGTCATATTTATCCCATTATATGTTACACAGTGTGTTATATGCATCTCATAGCATGTTACACGTTTTGTGTTTTCTGTATCTCATACTATGTTACACAATGTGTGTTATATTTGTCTAATTATATGTTACACACAGTATGTTACATACTGTGTGTTATATGTATCTCAAAGTATGTTACACACTGTCTTATATTTATCCCATAGTATGTTACACACTATTATTCACAAAAAATAATCAAGACAATTATAGCTCGCATCGCCTGCGGTTACAAATAGTTCGACTGATCGTGTCAATTGGTTTCATACGAGTAGAAAGAAATGTTTCTCATAGTATGTTACTTTCAGTGTGTTATATGAATCTCATACTATGTTACACACTGTGTGTTATATTTATCTCACAGTATGTTACACAATGTATCTCATAGTGCGTTACACACTGTGTGTCGACTGATCGTGTCAATTGATTTCATATGAGTAACAGAGCGTATTTCAGATTTAACCAGGATTTCATTTGATCCTAATAATTTATATTTTATAGAGATTTCTGATATATTTGCATTTCTTGTTTCAGCTAAAAATGTATTCACCACTAGTAAGTATGTATGCATCTTTTTACTTGATCGAAAGAAAATAATGTACAATTAAACCCTGACAATCCGAACATCCCACTATCCGGAGGTTGTTGATGGACATGTTTTGATAGTAATAGTATTGATACATTGGCAGTGATGATCCGCTAACAATGAAATGTACTTATCCTTATGATTTCACTTGGAGTGGTACCTCGTGGCAGTTGATTGGAGCACACATAGTTCCAACATAACTTACCAATCCTTAAAGAAAAGCGACAAAAACATTTCCATAATCATAAGAAATCTCTACCCAAAGAGATTCAAAAGCATGTGTCTGTGAATCACTATCAAATGGTGATCATACCAGACGTTCGCGAAAAGGTGACACCCGTCACAAACACATGCAAAGGCAAGTCAATTGTTCACCTGAAAATGAAAATGAATATTCTACATTACTGCTAGTTACTCATTACGTATATTCAGTGTATGCAAGCACACATAATTAATTAACTGCTTGCTTTCTTTAGCTCCAAAGCCCACGACAACGACAACAACGCCCAAACCTACAACCAGAGCGACAACTACACCGAAGCCAAGACTTGGTGAGATAAATTACGAGGATAGGGTCTCAAGGTCCTCATGCTTGTTAAGAGCCGCTGAGTATCGAGTGTTCACAAAATGTGATCTATACATCTCTATAGGTCTTAACAGTTAAAAACTACTCATAAGCGCTAGTAAAGAATCTGGGCTATTTTGGACAGACGATTGTAGATACGCTTCTCCGTGGATAGCGTTTTCAGGATTATTCTAACATTAAGGCCTTAACGCGTATCGCGGGTATTGTAACTGCCATTTGTATGTGAATTCAAAACGTAAATGACAGAGAAAAATCAGTCTCGATTATCTTCAAAACAAATTCCATTGGGCGTAAAAGGCAAAATACTGACGAAAATTATGTGAATGGATCACTGAAAATTAGGTGTTCTCGAAAAGCGCAAACCCGCACACTCAAAATTTTGCATAAAGATGACCTTCGCAACCCTCATTACTCTGAAATCCAAGACGAATGTAAACAAGTAACCGCTTTACCCCTCCTGCAGTGTGTGGTCCTTCCCCGGCCGATATCCTTTTCCTCTTGGACAACTCGGACAGCGAAGGAGCAGACAACTTCGCCAAAGAGGTCAACTTCGTCTACAACTTCGCCAACCGATTCGTCATTGATCCGAAGCACAACCAGATCAGCGCCCTCACATTTTCCACAACTGCCAAGAACGAGTTCTGGTTCAACTCTTTCAAAACACACGCCGGGGTGACAACAGCCATTAAAAACATCCAATATGTCGGTGCGGGCACCAACACCGCGGCCGGACTGAAAATGGCCAGGACACAGAGCTTCGCGAAGATCCACGGGGCAAGGGATAACTCTACACGGATCGCTATCGTCATTACAGACGGTAGGTCCATAAATGAAACTGAGACATTGAAAGAAGCAGCTAGTCTAAAGAAGACAGGAGTAACTATCATCTCCATAGGTATCGGGTTTGGACAGGACGACCATGAGCTGAAAACTATGGCCAGCACGCCGAGCTATGTGTTTAGTGTGGAGAACTTTGATGCTTTGAAGACCATCCAGAGACAGGTGATTGAGACGACTTGCCAGGAACACAAAGAATGATTGCAGGCCTGGTGGCTATTTCCTAACAGGATCGTATGAGATAATTAATTCTTACTTATTGTAAATTGTACCGAATACCTGACATTGTAAACTGACTTTGAATTAAACGATACTTCTTCACTTTGTTCCAATGTTTGCCTTAATTGGAGAGTGAGTAAGTGAGTGAGTGAGTGAGTGAGTGAGTGAGAGGAACCAAGAACCCGAACCCGGATTTGTATATGTTTATTTGTCGCACTCCGCAATATTCCAGCTATAGGACTGATCAATCTGAAAATACTTGGTACACCCCACCCCAAACGTACTAAGATAATGATGATGATGTTGGTGGTGGTGGTGTTGCTGTATACCATCACACTCAGTTATATTCCAGGTATATCACACTCGGTAATATTCAAGTTATATGTCGGCAGTTCTGGGCCAGACAATCCAGTGATTGATATTGTGAGCAACTATCCACGCCATCGGGTAAAGATGACACACAATCAACCAATGCAAGCCTGACCACCCGATCTTTTAAGTCGACACTTACGACCAGCATAAACTGCTGGGGACCAATTCTAAACCGGAATTCCAACGGGGAATTGATATGTTACATGATTAAGAAAGTATATTTTTTTATACAATGTTTGCCAGCAATGCAACACATCCATAAAACCAAACCATAGGTTGTAAGTTATCTAATATGTGTTATTTCGCGAATAAAGACAACAGTTATGACGAACCATACTGCTAATAGAAGGCACAATGAAACTAATGCAAGGTTATCTGAATGGCGCTTATTGGAAATGTACTGTTAGGTTGAAGGCATTTGTCTTGCCTTTGCATGTGTTTGTGACGGGTGTCATCGGTGGGGCAGAATACGCCCGCCTTTTTGCGAACACTATGTATCATCACTATTTTATATTGATTCATAAACGTGTGCTCATGATATAGTCAGCATCGTACAATGGACTCTTTTATCTCTTATCTTAATAAACACCGACAGGTTGGATAAAGTATATATTATGACCTCAGATGTAATCTATTCAAACGCATGTTCCTGTCTAAAAAACGTCTCATGACGGAACCACACAGAATGGCTCGGGGCTTTATTCCAAAATGGGTCGAAAGCTAAGGCGATCCTTACTCCCTTACCTCAACACTGACCTCCGACTGCCATAGCTCTAGTTTAGCTCAGTCTAGGTGAACTGATGCATGCAGTATCAACATCAACATAGACATCAGAGTATTATAACAGTTAGGTTATTACTACTGTTATATTTGTACCCAATAGTACTTGTGTACCTAAGTACTCATGGACTGATGACGTCACCACAAATAGTGATGATGTCATGATGGCTTCGTAAGCAGAATAGAACAAGGCATTGATATTACAATGCAAGTCATATTTAATAAAACCACGCAAAAAGACTTTCTCCATTTCATGTCACGTGACAATAAATGGAATAGCCTGGCTGACCTACAAAGCTTTTCACTCATCCGATAATATTTGAGTTGTCCATATGTTTGGTTTCACGAACTGACATCCATGGACTCTTCTCAATACAGACCGTGTTTCTATAAAAAGATTCATATCAATATATGCCCAATATATATCACACTGGCTGGGCGGTTTTCAGGAAAATAATCTGGCCAAGCACAAAGTTCAAAACTGTTTTTCACAGAGTAATGGACAAATGTATATTTTGTCTGATTTAATAAAACTTTTTTTCTTTATCGGAGTTGTGACGGACATTAGTCAGCTGATGTTATTTGTTTGACTACATGGGTTAGATCCCGCCGTCTATCCGGGGTAGAATGGGTCTTCAGCAACCCATACTTGCCGTAAAAGGCGACTATGCTTGTCGTAAGAGGCGACTAACGGGATCGGGTGGTCAGGCTCGCTGACTTGGTTGATGCATGTCATCGATCCCAATTGCGTGGATCAATGCTCATGTTGTCAATCACTGGATTGTCTGACCCAGATTCGATTATTTACAGACCGCCGTCATTCAGCTGGAATATTGCTGAGTGCGGCGTTAAACAACAAACAAACAAAAAACCCAAAAAGAACTATTTTTGTGTCGTCAATCGTAGTGTAATAACGAATAAATATTCCAGTATTTTTTCATGTAGTTAAAACATGACCTTACCTTATGTTTGAAGTCATGTTGATGGTTGTTTCTTCTTAAAGCCGCCTTGAAAATCATCGACACATCGGCATGTATAACGTTTTACGCCGTTTTTACAATATTCTAGCAAAACCATGACGGGGACACAAAAGTTGGTGCATAAGGAACTAATAAAGGAGAAAGTTTAAACACATGACGACATCAGGTTTTATTTTTAAATCAGGAAAGAATCCACGTTTCATCCAAAGTGTCAAGATACAACACAACATCATCTGTATTACTCCTTGTGAGTTAATGGTCAGTGATGGGCGCCGTGGTCCTGGCAAGTCGTCTCGATCACCTGCCTTTGGATGGTCTTCAGGGCATCAAAGTTCGACACACTGAACACATAGTTTGACCTACTTGCCATGGACTTCAGTTCATGGTCGTCCTGTCCGAAGCCGACCCCGATAGAGATAACTACAACGCCACTGTTCTTCAAACTGGTCGCTTCTCTTAAAGTAGCCGCTTCATCCTTGGATCTGCCATCAGTAATGACGATAGCGATCTTAGTCGCGTTAGCCCGGGATCCGTGGTTTTTAGTAAAACTTTGGGATCTGGCGAATTTGAAAGCATCAGCTGTGTTCGTGCCCGCGCCGACATACTTGATGTTGTTGATGGCGTGTGTGACGTCATGGCGGTTTTTGTAGGTGTTAAACCAGAACGCGTTTTGAATATTATTTGAAAATGTCAGAGCGCTGATCTGATTGTGCTGGGGGTCGATGTAGAAACGGTTGGCGAAGTTGCTGACAAAGCCAGTCTCCTTGGCGAAGTTGTCGGCTCCCTCGCTGTCGGAGCTGTCCAGTAAGAAGAGGATATCGGCAGGTCGAGGTCCACACACTAAGGAAACACCAGAACCATTATCACGTTATTATACGGAATCAGTGAGTGAATGTTGTGTTACGACAGAGTCAGAAATACTACAACTATGTCACAACGGTCGTGTAATCTACTATGGACCAGACACGCCTGTTACTGAAACCATCGTGTAAATAAAAGCGATAAAACCATTTCCATAATCATAACAAACATTCCTCTCAATAAAAGAAACACACAAACTCCGTTCTACTATTCATACAGTATCATAAGCATGGTACCAGATGACATAGGTGTACTTTGTGTAATTTTCAAACAGAGGACCGCCTCCGTGGTCAAGTGGACAGCGCGTCTGCCCAGTGAGTAGAGTATCCGGCCAAGTCATAGACATTTGTCCTCCACATATTTACCATGAAACTTTATGATGGCCGTAAATGCTGTAACTCTGAATGTTAAACCCGTTTTCATGTCACCACCAAACGGGCGTCACAATATAGGAACGCGTCTCACCAATACATCGGATATAAAACATGAATCCGTAATCGCCGTGTATACTGCATAAAGTCACACTTTGTGTGTGTATAACCCAAAGCTTTACGTTTGGACGTTTTCATAACACGTTTCATAAGTCCCATTATGTCACATGTTGGCTTTAAAGTTACCAAACCATGTAACTAACCTTTTCTCGGCTCGGGCGTCGTCGTCGTCGGTAACGCTGTCGTACTTGTAGTCGTCATGATGGCTAATAGGGCATAACATATTAATCAGTCAGTCATGTATTTGATTGTACTGAAAGCCCACGTGCCCATAGTATACAATACAGTACATGGGTCGCTATATGGAGGAGATAATGCCGATGCGACGTTAACTTTTAACTCCCTCACATTACATGGAGGTTGCCATACTTTACATACTTGTATCAGAATATCACAGCATGAAAAGTCATATTTCCGTTTTCCGGAAACCTTCCCACTTGGAATTCGGAATGTTTCCGACCCGGAAACCTTTTTAACGTGTTTCTCACTTAACTGAACAAAATGCACTATTAAATTTTATATTGCTGGTACGGTTTTCGGCCAGGAAACATTCCGGATTCAAAGTGGGCCGATATCCGGGAAACTGAAACCTCCCGTTTCACGCTGTGTATAGAATCCTATTTGGCATACATCTCAACAAAGCCATCTTATGCAACAGAATGCATTCGCAATAGCGGATACCTCCATCGGAAAGAAATGATGGCTTCTTTCATCAAACCCCTGCGTACGTATACGTAAACTGGATGCATTATTCACTTCAACAAAACATCAACATATATGTACCGTGTTGGATTAAGTGCAACTGTAGCAAACACCATATATATATACATATATATATGTCTTTACACCACTGTGGCGGTCGGGTAGCCTAGTGGTTAAAGCGTTCGCTCGTCACGCCAAAGACCCGGGTTCGATTCCCGACATGGGTACAATGTGTGAAGCCCATTTCTGGTGTCCCCCGCCGTGATATTGCTGGAATATTGCTAAAAGCGGCGTAAAACCATACTCACTCACTCACTCACTTTACACAACTGGAAGGAAGAAGGGCAACGGTTGATACTTCACAAGCCATGCTCGTCACGACATGGCTGAAATACTGCCGATGTGACGTTCAATTTTAACTCACTCAATCACAAGCCATGCATGTACATCATGCATATTTCCATTTACTAAATTAATTATCCTTAGATCAGAAATCTGTAATGTAGTAGTTTAATACTTACTTGTACGGAAGACATTATGGGCTGAAAATAAATGAAATACAAAGAAAATGAAACACCACAGACATTTTACATAAATATATAAAAAAAGTGAACAACTGTCAGTGAATACTATAATCTATAAAACTCCTTTCTTTATCGGGGCACGTGTGACCTCGTTCTTTAACGCACCCACTTCTAACTTCGGCCTTTATTCCTACAACAAGCTGACACGCCTTGATTTAACTGAAATACTATTCAAAGTGACGTTAAATTGAACCCACTCGATCACTGTTTCGTTGATACTCCCATGTACAAGTCGATACAAACATCGGGGCGGTGGGGTAGCCTAGTGGTTAAAGCGTTCGCTCGTCACGCCGAAGACGCGGGTTCCATTTCCCACGTGGGTACAATATGTGAAGCCCATTTCTGGTGTCCCCCGCCATGATATTGCTAGAATACTGCTAAAAGCGGCGACAAACCATACTCGCTTACTATACAAACATACACTGTAGATGACATAAAGGTGAATCTGTCAAAGTCATTTAAATTCAATGGATATCAAAATAGAATTTGTTTTATATGCATACTGTTTTAAAGTTATAGTCGGCATAAAACATCAAAACAGATATAATAGAATTAGACATTTGCCTTACTGAAGATGTCTACATGCATATGTCACCACTTGGAGATTCGTAGTTACAATATGCCTAGCAACCTATGCTGGCCACAAGAGCACCAAATGGACCGGGTGGTCAGGCTCGGCGACTCGGTTGGCTGCATGCCATCGTACCCCAACGACATGAATCTTTGCTCACAATATCGATCACATGATTGTCTGGTCCAGACTCGATTACTTTTGTTTGTTTGTTTGTTTGTTGTTTAACGCCGCACTCAGCGATATTCCAGCTATACGACGGCGGTCTGTAAATAATCGAGTCTGGACCTGACAATCCAGTGATTGACATCAAGATCATCGATCCACGCAATTGGGATCGATGACATGCATCAACCAAGTCAGCGACCCTGACCACCCATACCGTTAGTCGCCTTTTACAACAAGCATAGTCGCCTTTTACGGCAAGCATGGGTTGCTGAAGACCTATTCTACGGGTCGATTACTTACAGGCCGCCGACATATAGCTGAAACATTGGTGTGTCGGGCGTTAAACAAACCGACAAAACATGCATTTTTCACTCACATGCACAAAGCAGATCGACCACCTTGTCGTGGATCTTGTCAAGGTCTTTAGGCTCATCAACCGTGACGACATACTTATCTCCAGAGGCGATATTCTTCAGCTCCGTCATCTGTACGCCAGCTCCGATGCCAACAGCAATCACCAGGACACCGCTGGCCTTGAGACGTGCTGCCTGCTGCTTGGTGAGGTTTTCCTCATTGGATCTTCCGTCTGTCAGAACCACCGCGATGTGCTTCGTACCATACCTAGACTCCCTTTGTGCGAAGGTGTGGTCGTGGAGGTACTGTAGACCCAGATGCGTGTACGACTCTCCATTTGGATAGTGAACTCGGTCTATATTATGATTCACTGTGTTGGGGGACCTTCCGTCTTTGAAGTCGAAGTTTTTGTTCGCACCTGTGGAGAAGGTAACCATGGCTACCCTGGTTGCATTGTCGCCGATATGAAGTTCTCCAACAACGAGTTTGGCAAAGTTCTTCTGATAGCCGAAGTCTTTGTTGCCTTCGCTGCCAGAGCCATCGAGAAGGAATGCCAGGTCCATTGGTGTGGAATCACACACTGAAACAAAGCAACCGGTCACAGGTATAAGTTGCAGAAACCATGGCTTAAATTACATTGTGTAGGGTGAGGTTTATATACCACATGCAGCCAGTATGAGAGGGGGATGTACTCTAAGAGCAAAAAGAAAGTATACTGAGTTTGTCTTTGTCTTTGTCATTGAAAATTGAAAGAATTGTTGTTAAATTTGATTGTGTCTTTTTAGCCATTACCCATTCCTGCAACAGTGTGCAACAGAAATGAATATGCAACCATGCAACCACACGACCCCTACCATGTTTGAAATGTTGTAAATTTGTCCCGAACAAAGCAAACTTATAGATGTTCGAAGATAAATGTCTAAGATATGTGCTGTGTTGTGTATTATGCGAAAAGATATATAAAAATATGAAACATTTAAATCAAAATATTTTTAAAAAATTAGATAAAGCATGTAGAAGTACCAAGTGCCAGTACAGTACATTTTGTATATATAATATCGCCAACTTAAGATATGTTCAGTTGATAGTTCCAACATAAGATAAAATGAAAGGTATGGTTTCTTTCGCTCCTCAGTATATGCCCGATGAACCGAAGAAATTCCTGCATGTTCCACGAACGTCCTGACAACTAACCCATGCGCTGGTATTTAGCACATGTAAAAATGGATGAACATTTTCTCATTGCTTTCTCAAGTTGTGTTGTCACTCTCGTTATTCCTTGTCTTTTTTCTAGTTAAAGGTTGGAAGAACATGAAGAAATAGAATTTGTTTATGGATAACTTCTTAATTCTTTGTACAGACGTTTCAGGGCTACTTCTTGCCCATTCATAACTTGAAGAAGGAGAAGATGCTCTGAAACACAACCATATCCGCATCACATACATCACCATCGAATAACCGTTTCTTGTTTGGACCGCCTCCGTGGTCTAGTGGTAGAGCGTCCGCCCGGAGAGCGGAAGGTCCGGGTTTCGATTCCCGGCCGCATCATACCAAAAGACGTTAAAAGATTGTACTTGTTGTTACCCTTTCTGGCGCTCGGCATTAAGGGGCTAAAACAAGGACTGGTCGGCTCGGAGTCAGTATACTGTGTCTGAGTGGGGTATTCATGTTAAACTGTGGCATGGTATCCCAGTGGGCTAGCACTATATATCGGCATCAGTCCGGACTAGTACAAGCAGCCACACACATACACGTGCAAGCACGTCGCTATATAAGTGCAATAATCTTGGACGCGACGTTAAACCCAATTTCACCTCACCTCACCTTTCTTGTTTGTTTCATTTTTAGCCACCATCAAACATGGGTGTATACTTTCTTTTTGTCCGGCAGTGTATGTACAAACAATTGTGTATTAGCTGTGGGATTACCATTCAGGACATTTTGCGTGTAATTTCACAATTTATCTTCCAGTGAGATAAATGCGGAAAATAAAGGTATCTGCTTATGTTTGCGTTTGAGTTATTATGTCGTAATTACGGCTCACGTTTGCAGGTTGTGTCCGTGATGTCGTTGTGGATGGTGTGAAGAGCATCGAAGTTGGGCACAGTGAACACGTGCTTGCTGTTGCTGGCGATGGTGTTGAGCTCGTCTTTGTTGACCTCGCTGCCTATTCCGATAGCGACCACATTGATGTGATTATCATGAAGGCGTTTTGCAGCTATAGCTGTCTCATTAGGGTGGTTGGACCCTCCGTCTGTCAACACAATGACGACTTTCGCCACGTGGTCACGACCGCCGTTTACTTTCTGGAAGCTGTTCCTGTTGACGTAGTTCAATGCGTCCCCGGTGTAGGTCTCGCCATTGAGCCATTTGATGTTGCTGATAGAATTGATGAGAGTTGTTGAGGAGTGCCCGTCTTTCAAGGAAAACTCGTTACGAACAGATGTGGCGAATTGCACAACGCTGATCTGAACTGTCGACGGGCCAATGTTAAAGTTTTTGGTGAAGTTACTGACGAAGTCTAGTTCCTTCCCGAAGTTTGCCTGTCCCTGACTGCCGGACCCATCCAGAACGAACACAATGTCAGCTGGCTTGTCGGGGCATTCTGGGGACCAAGGATATTTTAAAGTGAATACGTGTTATTGACAATATGTAACCTATATATAAGCCCGGCGCACATAATGATTGGGTATCAGCATATCGTCCCTGCTGCAACAAGATTAATACTGATCGCAGCTTTCAGCTACGTTTGTTTGTTGTTAAACGCCGCACTCAGCAATGTTCCAGCTATATGAATGCGGCCTGTTAATAATCGAGTCTGGACCAGACAAAGGCAGAGAATGGTCATTTTGAGGACGCTTTGACTGCATGACCAACTGATCCTGACACAGCTAAGGGACGCAATTCACCATACCTACCTGAACATGATCATATTGTACATCATTATTGACGTAATGTCCTCATCCTACACTTATATTATGGTGACACGCAGACCTACTTGAACCGACGATGTACTGTGGGTCGGCAACCGTGGCGGCGACGAACGCCAGCAGCAGAGCGAGACAATGCCCGATCATGATGGTGAGTCTGTTTGAAGCGGCCAGAGACTGTGGTGGTATACATATATATAGGGTCCCTGACATTATGTGACAAAACCGAGATAGCCAGCTGGATGATCGACACTAGGCTTTCATAACCGACATTCCATTGGATCTACATAAAGTATAAGTCCAGTTCGTGACCTTAATCCAGTATTCGGATTCTGTCTGCCAGTTTCTCAGAATTGTTTGATCTCCGTATGTTCATAAACGATATCTTTGGATTTTTGTTTGGAGACTAGATATTGTTTCAGCTACTTTTTAATTAGACAGACAATTTCATTTTTTCATCAACGTGAATCATGATTATTTTTTCAAGCAATTTCTGGACAATTTATTTTTTCGAATACATTTAATAAAATCTGTGTGTCCTTCCCCGCGTGAAGATGAAGCTTGGCTTATTTTGTATGGCAATGTATGGTATTAACCAGTCCTAGAGGATTTCTACGTAAAGAGTTACAGAAAATGTAACCTACCGCAGAATTGGAGAAAAAGTTGCAGAATGTGGCATTTTTTATCAGTCAGTGCACTAATCTTCATTAGTTTCAAGTCTTTCTGTAAAATATTGCGCCCGAATGATGTCCAAACATTTAACATACCATTCAAAAATACAAAATATGAATCCTACAATAAAACTGTTTGAAAAATATAATCCCTCACTTTTATACCTTTTGGGGCATTAGGACTACATAAACTATGGTCACATCTAACCATAAATAAATATCAGTGACCCTATGCATATGAGTTTTTATTATATACTTCAGTGTGAAAGACTGACCGTTCTGAGGTTGAGAAAAGTGATATTTTCATTGCAGTGATCATAACGCTTGATATTTCGCTGCAGTGAACATAACACTGTAACGAAAGTATTGTCTCACTAGAGTTACCCCCCACCCCCACCCCCACCCCCACCCCCACCCAACCCCAAATTGTTTCCCTTTACCGCTGTGAGGAGCTTGCCCGTACAGAAACTGTTGACATTTATGGAGTTGATATCGCTTCTTGCGAAAAAAGGAGCCCTCTCGTTTTTTCCCTACAAAAAAGGGAAAACAATATAAAATGAATCTGTCTGTTATTTGTTATTCAGTTTTTCTATTTTTATTTAAACCCTGAAACGTTATATTATGCATGGCTTCTTGCCGTTTGTCATTCTCTTGAAATTGTTTTGTAATAAACTGTAAAATTCTAATTTAACCCGACAATCCGGACTGTTCGTTTAGCAAAGCGCCATTTTGAGAGACCAATACATAGCCTTTTGTCTAACGAAAACTAGACCACGAAATTTACATAAATAATTTTTATATTAATTGTTTTGTGCCTGAAAAAACAAATCCCAACAATACAAAGATAAGGTGAGGTGAAGTGAAATTGGGGTAAACGTCGCGTCCAAGATTATTGGGCAAACCTATGATTAGGGGTTCGAATCCAAGTTCGCCCCGATTATGTTTCTGGGTGTGTTAGCACCATACCCCTGCTCGTGGGTTTCACCGAAGTGGTAAACGTCTGCATCACTTCGGGCTTTCCTCCTACTTTAAGCTGACACGCCGTGATATAACTGGAATACTGTTAAAAGCGGCGTTAAACCAAACTTACTCACACAAATCACTATTGCTAGTATTTCAACACATAGTAGAAGCTATATGAACTTTTACTAATTCCATATCGGAATGAATGAAGTTCCTGTAAAATATCATCCTTCAATTCTGTACACAATTCGGTGTCCTCTTTTCTCAGTCCTTGGGTTAATTCTACGTCTCCGGAGAAAACTAAGTGCTCTACCCTTAATTCTATCTCTCATAGACAGTACAGAGAACCTTTACCGTTTCCAAGAGCCGATGACCCTTTCGTCTAAGGTGTGTGTGTACCTGGTAGTAACATGGCCAGTCCTCGCCCTCAGGTCTCTGAGGACACACCCATGATGCGCCATTGTGTCGTACTAACATAATTAAGCAGTACTAATGATGCTTTATGATGTCAGAGAGATGACATTATTCAATTTTTCGGGATCGGGTGGTCAGGCTCGCTGACTTGGTTGATGCATGTCATCGTATCACAACTGTGTCGATGCTCATGATGTCAATCACTGGATGTCTGGTCCAGACTCGATTATTTACGGACCGCCGTCATATAGCTGGAATATTGCTGAGTGCGGCGTTAAACAACAAACAAAACAACAACAACAAAAAACTTCTGAATGTTGAAGCAACTATGACTTATATGAAGCATGGTACAGGTTGTGTTTACACTTTACTTACCCTATCCATAGGAACATTTCTGTTGGTTATATTAGGCCAGTTATCATTTAAATCCTGATTCTTCATCTTCATTGATTAATTTCCAAACCGGAATATGCTATAAAAATAGTATTTTAGAACTTGATACGATGAAAACGCATTTGAATTATAAGATAGTGTCCTCCACTTATCCTTATGTCAGGTTTATCAGTGTAGCACATGTAATCATTACCTTCACGATACAAGCACTGAACAGCACTACAAGCCTATAAAGCGGTCAAAGGTAGTTACTCTCTCCGGGTGGGATAATATATTACATATACAAGGTTACTTAGCATACAAGGAATAACAGTTGTAACTTCAAATTGACGGGGGTTGTGAGTTTAAAGCGTTCGCTCGACACGCCGAAGGCCCGGGTTCGATTCCCCACATGGGTACAATGTGTGAAGCCCATATCTTGGATCCCTCGCCGTGATATTACTGGAATATTGCTGAAAGCGGCGTAAACATACACACACTCGCTCTTCGTAGGAGGACATGTTAGATGTTTCCACTGATTTGACTGTTGTTCAGTCTCGGGCTGATAGTGGTGAACCGAATACTCATCCATGGTTACCATTTGTTCGGGTGCACGGGTGGCCCAGTCACCTAAGGCGCAGCCTGGTTCCCTGGGTATGCTGCGCTGGCGCTCAGTGTACATAGTGCCTGAGGTAGTTGCAATTTTCCTTCCAGAGTTGCGTCCCTTTGGCACGCCAGAAACCAATGGTCGTGCCTCCGAATCCCGGTTCGCCCTGATTATGTATCTAGGTCCGTCAGCACCATACCCTTGCTCGTGCGTCTGAGACCTGCATCACTTCGGGCTTTTCTCCAACATTCAGCTTGATGTAACAGCGATACTCTTCAAAGTCGCGGTAAATCTTATTTGCAAATCTCAATCAAGACTCAGGCTCGGTCTGCGTCAAGCAAACGTAGATTCCCACGAGAAATGATGAACATGGAGGGTTTCTGATCAGGAATCAAAAGCCTTTGAACCCAGCGTGCTGAAACCTTTGTCATGCCCAGTTCATTCTTTAGAACGTTTCCAACTCTCTCAAGAGAGACGCCTTCTGTATTGGCTTTGTGAATGTAGTGAATCGTCAATCGTCCATTATCATAGCATGCATTGTGTCAACAATGTCCTCAGTGGCGGCAGATGCAGGTCTTCCCGATCTTGGATCATCTGCGAGGCTCTCTCTTCCCCTCTTGAACTCAGCTGACTCCATCTTATAGTTTCAGTAGCACCATGTCCATTTTTAGCAATAGGGAATACCTAGTCATGTTGATGCCTGGTTGTTTATTTGTTTCAAAATCGGACTGTTAAAATGCCTCATTCAATATCACCAGCTCTTGCAGACAGCCACTACGAATCTCACTCCATATATGTATATTATACTTATCTATTGATAAACAAGCTCCAATCTATGTGAAACCTTGCTATGTAACAGTATGTCAAACATACATAACTGTATGCACGTACACATAAGGCTGTACTAAACATCCTTCGTGAGTATGCTCCGTATACGCCATGTTGTCTTTGAAATCATAAGTCGACCGTAAGCTGTCACAAAATCTCTTTTTCTAATCTTGTTTGGTAGTTGTGTATTTTTCCTTCTTCTTCATTTCGGATTTGATGTTTTCAATTACTTCATTTTTCTTTTTAATCCACTCCAACATTGGGTATGGGGTTTGTATAAAGTTCGGTTCTTGCAATCAAACATATATCTTGTCGTTCCTTGTCGTAAGAGGTGACAAATGGATCGGGTGGTGAGGCTCGGTGATTTCGGCGTGTCATCTCACCCCACGGCGTGTTATCTCACCCTCACGACGTGTCATCTCACCCTCACGGCGTGGATCGTTCCTGACCTTATTAATCACTGGATTGTCTGGCCCAGACTCGATCAGTTAAAGCCCGCCGACATATACCTGAAATATTTATGGCGTTATACAACAAAATAACGTAAATATGGCTACGGTGTGGTATTCCAAGTGTATACTGATAAAATAGCCTTATCAACGGAATGCAATGATTGAGTTGCTATTTGTATTATGATATTCATATAATGTGCAATTCCTCATGTTATTTCATATAGTATTTATCTTGTTACTTTGTTACATGTTGGTAATTATCACTTGAAGCGTCATTGCACTGAAGTCATCTGGCAATCTGTGTTAATGAGAGGGACCTTCTATCAGAGTTTATTTAAGTCTGTAGAACAATCAACCAATGCACAGCCACGCTTATTCAGGAAAAAGATGCTGCAGCTGGGTATTTATGTGGCGCTTCTTTCATTCTTCAGCAGGCCATCCCATTCGTCACCACTCGCCCCTTTCAGTAACCTGCAACACGACTCCCTTTCCTGTCGATGAATGTTATGTGCGGAAATATGACAAACCAATCAGAATGCGCGTATGACTTAAAGTACTTTGGTCAAAGAATCCCTCAGGAATATATATATATATTTTATTTTACATTTATAGATTTACCCAAGATACAGTTAAATGTGTTCAATGATGCCGTATGATAATGTCAGTCTCCATAGCATCTGGAATATATGTGATATATGGGGGAAATATAAGTGAATCATTACGCAACGAGTTGACAATTCTTTTTGGTATGACCGTTTGCGCGTAGACGGAACCCAGTTGCAAAAATGGCCGCGACAGGGACACGAGTCGCTATTCGGCTCGTCCCGGAATAACACGAGTTGGTCACGAATGCAGGCCATCCCACATCCACGTTAAACGTGTATCACAAAGCAGGGAGAG